CAATCAGCTGTGGAAACAGAAGTGACATCTATTAGTGACTTAAACCACAGAGTTGCAAGGAACCAGTGGATTTCTTCAAGGTCTGTCACACTGATGGATTCTCGCAAACTCGTCCCATCAGGTTCTGAACATGATGAAGAGCGACAACAAATCAGATCTAGGTTAAGAAAAAGTCTAAGAAACGACCGTGGGCAGTGGTGGGTAACGAAAGCAAAAGAGATGGAAAAGGCGGCGACTATAGGGAACACAAGACAGCTTTACAAACTAATAAAAGAAACTGGAATTAATAAGTCAAGTGTAAGTGAGATTATTTCGGAAAAAGATGATACTCTCATCTGCTCCCAGTCCAGACGTTTAGAACGATGGGCGGAACATTTTAGAGAACAGTTCAGCTGGCCTTCAGCTACTCTACAACTACCCTCCATTCCCAGACAATGTGAATGGAACATTGAAGTAGGTCCCCCAACTCTTGCTGAAGTTCAAAAGGCTATAGTTAATCTGAAACGAGGAAGGGCAGCTGGTCCAGATGGATTGGCTCCAGAGGTCTTTAAGGATGGTGGTCCAATTTTAGCGATTAGGTTGACTAATATTTTAGCTAAGATCTGGGAATTAGACTTTATCCCATCTGACTGGTCGCAATCACACATCGTCCCAATATATAAGAAAGGGTCAAAATCATCCTGTGACAACCACAGAGGGATTAGTTTAACAAACATAGTATCTAAAATACTGGCCTCGATAATTATCAGACGCCTAACTAAGACTCGTGAACTACAAACTCGAGAGAACCAAGCTGGCTTTAGACCTGGTCGTGGTTGCATCGACCACATATTCACCATTCGTCAGGTTCTAGAACACAGGCATACCTATCGGCGTCCGACGATGGTGGTCTTTCTTGACTTAAAAGCAGCGTTTGACTCTGTAGACCGCGAGACTCTGTGGCAGTGTCTGTCATTGAAAGGCGTACCTCAGAAGTACATAAACCTTGTGAAGGCTCTTTACTCGAACACTACTAGTCGAGTCAGGGCTTATGGCGAACTGTCATCTACTTTTGCAACTTCAAGTGGTGTCCGTCAAGGCTGTCCACTTTCTCCATTTTTGTTTAACTTCATCATAGACCTATTGATGGAAATAACACTCTCGTCGACTGAATTCTCGGGTATTGATCTCCTTCCAGGAGGTCCACTTATCGACTTAGAATACGCAGATGATATAGTCCTGATCGGAGAAGATGCTGACAAAATGCAGAGTCTTCTGGTAGCACTAAGCAACAATGCCAGAATGTTTGGGATGCGCTTCTCTCCCTCTAAATGCAAGTTGTTGCTTCAGGACTGGTCTGCGTCAACACCTGAACTAAGGATAGGGAGTGAAGTAGTCGAACGCGTCGACAACTTCACTTATCTTGGAAGTCTGATCAGCCCTAATGGGTTGGTGTCTGACGAAACCTCAGCACGGATTCGAAGAGCTCGTTTGGCTTTTGCCAACTTACGTCACCTGTGGCAAAGGTGAGACATCCGTCTATCAATAAAAGGAAGAGTTTATTGCGCGGCGGTTCGTTCTGTTTTACTTTACGGCAGCGAAACATGGCCATTAAGAGTAGAAGACACTCGTAAGCTACTAGTATTTGACCACAGATGCCTTAGAAATATTGCTGGCGTCTGCTGGAATCACTGGGTAAGTAATAGTGAGGTTAGACGCAGGGTATTAGGGAATGATGGTAAATCAGTTGATGAGGTTATGAATCTTCATCGACTGAGATGGTTGGGCCACGTATTACGTATGCCTGAACACCGATTACCACGACGTGCAATGCTAACCGGTGTAGGGGTTGGTTGGAAGAAAGTTAGGGGCGGCCAAACCAAAACGTGGCATCAGTGCTTGAAATCACTAACTTCTAGTCTGAGCCATGTTGGTAGATGCAGACTACTTGGTTGGGGTCCGCGTGACTATCGTAACCAATGGTTGGAGACTCTTGGTGACATGGCTCAGAATCGATCACAATGGCGTCGGTGTATACACTCCCTGTCTTCCCTTAAACTAAGAGATTAAAATCACTTCATATCTTTCTTTCTACGAACTAATTCTTCCTTCCTATACTATATCCTTATTGCAACCTTTGACCTAACCACTCCTATGAATCCGGTGTTCATCTTGTTGTGCTAATGAGGTATGGCAACCTGGACCGATGCACATATGTGCCTGGTCCTACGTTGTAGCTGACTGACTGACGACTGAATCTAGTTAATTTCACCTAAATAGTACGGTTATTGCTTATTAGTCAACTTAACTATTTGTAATTAGTAGCCTCCCAGTAATTATCTAATTCATTCACATTTTGACCTAACCTTGATTATAATTTAAGGTTATTTATTTGAATTCTGACTAACAACTGACTAGGCCTAATTTATCGGAATCGAGGTTAGTGAAGATTGTAGTAATTTTAATAGTTGAATTAATGAGTCAATTTAACCTAGACCACCATTGAAAACGCGGGAGCACTGGGCGGCCATTTCGTCCTATTATGGAACTCCACAGCCATTAAAATTACTACAATCTTCACAAATTCCCATTCTGATAATCATCACGTGCTCACTAGCGACTTGCTTCAAGATGAATTTCCTGGAGCTCTAGTGAGAAGCCGTGACCGCTGGAGTTCAACTGTGTCTGTTGTGGGGCAGTTGCTCACTGAAGACAATGGTGGACGGCCGCGCAATATTGTGGATTGGTTGAAATTAGATATTAACACCGTTGGATGCTGGCTCAGTAGTCTAGAGGTTAAGCGTTTGTGCGCGCGACTGAAGGCTCTGGATTCGAGTCCCTCGTGCAGGATCGTGGGTACGCACTACTGATGAGTCCCATACTAGGATGAAACGGCCATCCAATGCTTCCAGATTTTCAATGGTGGTCGGGTTTAAATCGAATAATTAATTCAATCATTAATTTTTCTAACAAAACCATCCAATTTCCTCTCGTTTAACATACAGCAAGGTATAAACACATGAGAATGTATTCACGTATAGCTGAAATATACATTAATTAACATTTATGATTTCATGATAACGTTCTAAGGGCAAAATTAACTCTTTGAAACTGAAAATAAATAACTTTATCAAACCTGGTATAAGATAAAATGGTTTGTAGTATACCTAATGAAATTAACTATGACAATGATATAAGTTTACTGCCTTTTCGTAACTATCTAAAGATTAATAATGGTAATAATACGAATGAGAATTCCAAAAGTTTAGTTTTTAACCCACTATGGAACTTTTATACATTATGCGTGGAATTTTTCATTCTGAATTACTTTTTATTATGTATTAAACCATTTTCCTACCTTGTTTTTATTGTATAGATAATCATTATCTTAAATTAATCTTTAAATTGACACACTGAACTGGTTTTTCTCAAATGACTATAATATGTAATATTTTATCCCGATACTATCCTGTTTTTGAATTGCCCATTCATTATTATTCTTAAATTAGTTTAGTGATTCCATATGTGTCTGATCAATATGATTATTCTTTCTGAGAAAATAAAAATGAAAGAAAAGGTAACGATTTGATTTCGAGAGAACGAAAAATATTACAAAAAATGCATATTATTTAATTTCCTGTACTTTTCATTTGTATCAATAAAACATTATTACTTATAGTAGTATAAACTTTGTTCTAAGAAATGCATTCAACTAGAAATCGTTTTCAATTTGTATTTTTCTTGCCTGGTTTATAAAGTGAAGACTTTCATTTCATATAATTGCTTAATTAAATTACGAATTAAAATGATTTACAAGTTGTTTGTTTTATTTCAACTTTGCAACTGGAATACTAGAATACAAACTACCTAGTTGAGGTCCACCATGATTATCATGGGCAACATGGCTTGGAATTGTCCACAATAGTATACATAAATTCACTATCTTCTTTTAGATTCTGTCTCGAAATCTCATACTTTTTTTTCTTTTTTCCACGCGTAGTCCTGTTTACTACTACTGATAATATTGTTATTCCTAATATTCTTGGGTTTGTTTTGATAATATCTTCCCGTGAAGCTAATGTTGTGTGGCAACTTGAATCGATGCATATATGTGCCAGGTTCTACGTTACGCATGATTGACTGACTGCAGCTGGAATAAATCAGACATAAGAATTAAGGTAATTGTAATAATAATTATCTAAAATAAATATAGAGGAGTGTATGACGTAATATTTTTTCAGTACACCAACCATATTTTTATGCAGAAATTAAGTTGTCATTTACATCATACTACGTAATGTATTTCGACCGGAGGCTTAACTCAGTACAAAAGCACTCGGTCACTACACTACTGAACTCGTATCATCAGTCAAACAGCTGTTAATATTAATCGTCACCGGATTACCGTAACTCAGTAGCTAAGTACTAGTTCAACCCAATTTTTGAATTACATGTTTTATGAAAGCTAACTATATTACACGACTAACCTAACAGTAGTTGGTGTAAGGTTCGAACCTGGGTCTCACAAATCAAGATTTAAATAATCTAACCACTAACCACGGTTCTTAAGTGAAAAATCGATAGGGAGTAGGTACCCATACATATAACATAAAGCTTCCATTAAACTCAACATAAAACTAGGATAGATTTCTCAACTAAAAAGTTGCAAGAAAACCATCTAAACAACTGACAGGCTAGGTATTGTGTATTAAATAACTTGGCGATTATTAAATTAAAATTAATGGTTGCATGATAAATAAGTGATATATCCGTAACATGTTCGGTGGTCTTACTTTTGTAATATATTCCAACTGATTATGAACTCAGTTTTATCAGAAATAGAATTCTTGACATAATATCTTTTCTGTTGATGTATATAAGTGAAAAAGAGAATATCGCTATTCACTTTATAACCCTTTATAAATCTATTGAAAATATCTCAGTTTTTACCAATGCTTTAGATAGTCTAATTTAAAGCAAAATAAATGGGTAATCACTTTTATTTCTTATTTTCTATTAAGTGAATGTGGTCTTGAAGTTCATTGTATTTTACCGAATGGGCGTGTAGCACGTGAGCAATGTTTATCTGTTGGAGATCGGATTTTAAGTATTAATGGAATTTCATTAAGCGGTATACCATTTGAAAAGTTAGTTATATTTTATAAACCATTATTTATGTTTATTTTCTACTGAAGTAAAACAGTAGTGCATCTGTTTTAATTAAACATGAATCTTTGCACCCTAGTGAGTTTTTTACATTTAGATCAGTAGACCTTAATCTGTATATTTTCATCTTTTAGCAAATTTGTGCCAACCTGGGACACAATTAGTGCCGTTAACCTTTTGGCATAATGTAAGCAATCTTTTGTTTTTCTTTTGCTATTTGGTTGTTTGGAGGGAATCATGGACCTACGTCTCTTGATCGGTGGCATTGGTAAATAAGGCTTACCTGCAATTTTGAGGAGACTAGTACTACTTCGTGGAATAGAAACGGAGGCATTCAACTTCACAGTTTGCGAAACCACTACTGAACTATTCGGGCTGCTACTGACCTTGTTTCTTATGCTAGAGAGTCTATACTACTACCTAGTCTAATACTACGAGAGATAACGTCTTTGTGAATGCACGTTAATAGTGTAGTTTTGGCTCTAATATTCAATAGTACCACCAGGGCTGTACACCTTTTGTTTATGGCTTTGATATAAACCAAACATACTTCATGAATCAGAAACCTATTAGCCATGCTACACTGTACATCCGCGGGAAAGCTTTCCAGTATCCTAACCAAACCCTTACTTACTTACTTACGCCTGTTACTCCTCGTGAAGGAGCATAGGCCGCTCACCAGCATTCTCCATCCAACCCTGTCCTGGGCAATCCTTTCTAGCTCCGTCCAGTTGTAATTCATCGTTTTCATATCTGCTTTTATTATCTGACGCAATGTGTTCTTTGGCCTTCCTCTTTTTCGCTTCCCTTCAGGATTCCAAGTTAGGGCTTGCCTCGTGATGCAGTTTGACGATTTGCGCAATGTATGTCCTATCCATTTCCATCGTCTTTTCCTAATTTCTTCTTCAGCTGGAAGTTGGTTTGTTCTCTCCCACAGAAGGCTATTGCTGATGGTATCCGGCCAATGGATGTTGAGTATCTTGCGTAGACAGTTATTTATAAATACTTGTACCTTCTTGATGATGGTTGTTGTAGTTCTCCAAGTTTCAGCTCCGTACAGTAGAACTGCCTTGACGTTCGTATTGAAGATTCTCACTTTGATATTCCTAACCAAACCCACTCGTTGTGTAATTCACAACAAACTTTTAAATATAGATTGTTATTCATTAGTCACACGTAGCAAAATGATGATGGCTAACCTTTTTCTGTTGTTAATGAACATCGCTACTATGTATTGAACTATCGGTTTTTGAGGTTGGAGCAATGGCTTGGTGGTTAAGGCTTTTGAATTTCAGCCACTAAGTCTCAGGTTCAAATCCCTCTCCAACCACTTCGGTTAGGTCAACTTTGTAGTATCATTAGCCCTCACACGTAGTGTTGATCATACCCAAGTACCTGGCGAACGAGTTAATTTAGATTTGAAATGAAGATTAATCTTTTCTTAAACATGAATAAATAGAGGCTAATTTAGTGAATATCTAGATGGCCTATTTGTTATTTTTAAGGACAAATAGTAAAATCGGTACTAGGAACCACTAAATAACATTATTTTAATTATATTCCATCTATTCTCTTCATGAATAGCTGATACAATATTAAAAGCTAACTACTAATTGGAATATCTAACCTCTCTATCTTATTCATCGTTGAGGGTCCATTTTTAACTAGCTTTGCGGTAGCTTCGCTCAAAGTTTTGGCGATAAGTAAAACTGGTGGTTTTAACACCACGGGAATAAAACAGTAGTTACTTACGAACTTAGATGATTTTCGCATTGTAAGATGAATGTACTGAGTGTGTAGATTTAAACTATTTGAACTTCGACTAAGTACTCTAAAAGTGTCGTGCTCACCATGTAGTACACATAAATCCTAGTTGGGTTCGTAGAAGTTCATACTGTTAAGAAGTCTGTCTAGTGGAGTGTTTAACCTTCACTAGTCTTCACACATAAAGCATGGCTCAAACCCGAATACACGAATCTTTTCTTAATAAATGAGTTACATCCCAGTATTGTTTTCTCTAGTATTGTTCATTTTCAATGCTTCTCAATCTTATGCCAGTTTATGGTGAAAATTACCAATAAAATTCCATTCTGTTAGTCCACCTAATAAATCTAAGCAACATCATATAGATCATGTCCACAAATTGGTTCTATTTTAATAGTCATTTAAATTTTTTTCTTGCAAAATATTTTTATAATACCTTTTCTTTTCTGTCAAGGGGTCGTGATATATTTCAAGAGGCATTAAATGAACCAGAAATAATACTTCGTGTACTTCCTCATTCAGCCTACCAATACAGTTCTTCACTATCTATACAAAACATTGATAAAATAAACAGGACAACTACAGAGAAATCAGAGAAACCTTCATGTGGTCTAATTGTTATCGTATCCGATCCATTGTCTAAAGCCAAAGAAGTTGAAATAAAATCTAATTCAAATCAGTTAAAACCTATACCACCACCACCACCTCGTCGTTCTCCCAACACTGTATTAACTCGTATTCCAGAAGGAATTATTAAACCATTAATTGACGAATTTTTAAAAGAGAAAAAACAACAAGAAAATAATAATAATCAATTACCATCATCACAAGAATTAACAAAATCTGTTGTCAACTCAGAAACAAATATTGTTAATAATAGTGATGATTTGCACACATTTACTTATCATACAATTCATTTATGCAAAGGTAAAATGAATTTTCTTGTATAATAATATAATTATTTCAATATTGTATGTATGGTCAGTTAGTCATATAGTTGACATAGAGTTATCCAATAATAATGCATGCGATTCCAGGTTGATGTATACACCATATTAGTACAATGGGATGGAACTAATAAGATGAATAGCAAATAAAGTTAAGATAATAATAATAATAATAATAATAATAATAATAATAATAATACTATCAACGATAGTTAAAAAAAGTCTAAATATTTAAGTATATGGTTAAATAGAAAGGTATATACGAAGGACAATTGGAACTCTAATTCTTGGGTGGAGATAAACGATAAATGCAAATCTGTTACACAGTCCTTAACTATTGTGTACACTTATGTGTGTAAATACTCTTTTTTCCTGAATTTCGTTCAAAATATTGATGAGAAATATATTTATACAGCATTAATAAGTACATTTACTAATACTTTATTCAGTTCAGTTAACAGAATTTTATCAAATTCACAGAAAAGATACAAAAAGCGACAAATCTGTGGGTAAACACAATTGTTATTTAATTTCCATAGTACTATTAGTATTAGTAATATCATCATTACAAAGGTGCCTTTTGTAAGTCTTCGAAAATTAATCGACATGAAACCGACCATTTTCAGCTCATATGACTTCATTAACATACTCTAAATTGTAAATCAGGATCTTGTACACCGATGACCACCTTCCATAATATTTCTTTTAAAACTTCATCTTTAATAGGTTACGAAAAAAAAATTATGAAATACGCAGTCGGACAATCTAGTTTTGATCATATCTGAATGACATTGTTAACATTGTGTTAGTCAAATAAAAATCTCTCCTTTTTTCATTATGACATTAATTTACTATTATTTTTTGTGAACTTGATCTGTCAGCGATGATGTCTATTCTCAGAGTTTAAAGGCAGATAATATTTACTGTTAAACTACTTAGTTGTGGGTCAGTCTTTAAAAACACCTATGCTTAATTCATCGGAACTTACTACTCTGTCTTGCTTCGAATCTTCTAAAATTTAGTGAACTAATGGTATTTCTGCTGTCAGACTAATATGCTGCAGTGATCCAGGTAGAAGGTCTCATGTGACTAGCTGAACTTAAAGAGACCCAGAAAGACTCATCGTTTCAATTGTCTGAATTGATACTGGACTCCACTTATCCTTCTTTCTTTGAAATATTCTAAATAACTGCCATCTCTTTATTTCAATCCAATTTTCTTGAGATATCTAAATAGCTTTACTATTACTTATCTTTCATGCACCTTTTTTGCTTTCATTGTTATCAAAAGAGCTTATACTAATTACTTACACTTTTGATCTATAAAAAAACTGCTTAAAGTTTACATATTCAGTGATATCAATTATTCTCATTGTTATTGTTAAAGTTCGACATACAGTACTAGATGACGATAGCGAGTCGATTGAATCCTCATCTAACGAAGTAATTTTGACATATGTTACGCAGATAGACCCTGACTTTATGGTTGGAATCCGCGTGATTGTCGTAACCTATGGTTAGAGATGTTTAATAATGGCTCATAAACATTCACAGCAACGTAGATACATTCACTTTCTGTCTTCTCTTGAATCTTGAGTCTCGAAATTTCCTTATAGTTTTTCTCATCTCTATATATAATCTTTTGTACTACTGCTTCAACTACTATTAATTCTACTATTTTGGTATGTTTTTTAATAATCTTACCTTTCTGTGCTAATGTAGTGTGGGAACTTGAACCGATTCACGTGTGTCAGGTTTTACTTTGCGTATGACTGATTGACCTGCACTAATCATTTCGTTAGTTTGATTTCGTTGTGCTAATATGATGTGACAGCTTGGTCCAAAACATGTTCGTTCCAAGCCCTCCGGTGGTTTTAACTAAATAGCCATCAGCATTATTATCTAACGTTAATGTCTTTCGGAAATATCAGTTTTCTGTACCTAGTTTTAACTGTTTCTTGTTTCTTTTTATTGATTGTTTTTTCAGGTTCTAATGGATTGGGATTTAGTTTAACTAGTCGTGATTCATTGACATCATCGGGTCAAAAAGTTATCTGTGTGAAAAATATACTACCAGGTGGAGCAGCTCTAATCGATGGCCAATTAAAACCTGGTGATCTTCTAATGAAGGTAAATAGATGTTCTTTCTCCCACTAAAAGAAAAAAAACCTATCTAATTTTATTCTAATTAACCTTAAATCAAAAATTTTGATAGCGTTTAATCAAGAAAGATTTCGTAGCTTTTGAAAGTTCCAACCTATCTTGATGAAACAGACCTTGTTAGCTCTCACCATACATAATGTTGCCACAGAATTACAATAATAAAATAGAAGTTCTAGTGATACAACATAAATCAAGCCGTTATCAAGAATCTCTAACTTCATGGCTTTAGGTTACACAAGTTCAAAACGAAGCAGGTTTCATTGAAAATTTGTTTAGTCAGCCTAGCGAAGTATTCTATCTATGGTAGAAAAATAGCGGTGAATATATTTAAAGATTTTCAACAAGAAATATTTTAAAAGCTAGCAGTTCTCCACAGACTTATCCGAATTAATTTATGCCGAGAAACCTATTTCAGCTCTCTCTGACCTCGATAAGAAACTTTAAAACAAATTCGTCAGGTTTCTATACACTGACTTACTAGAAACACTAAATAAAATGGTATGTAAATGAGTTAAATGTCTTTTAGTACTAGTCAGCAGTTATTTAATGCTATTAAAAAGACTGACCTAATAAATTGTATGGTTATTCACTTAGCTACGGAGTCTATATGACTGCTGACTTGTGCAACAGGGATGAATTTCAATTCATTCGTAAGTAAAAGGCAGTATCAAGACAGCCCACTCAAAATGCACATATACAGGAAAAGACTGATCAACTCCGGTCCTTAACATCAAGGGGAAGATTTTAAAGAAATCCCTACAAATTAAATTAAGATTCATCCTTGTTACACAAGTGAGTGGCTATTCGGACTCAATAGCTCGTTGGATAAAATTTCAAGCGTTTGGGACAAAAGGTACTGGGTTCGAGTTTCACTGTGAACATCAACACTGGAATTCACGTGCATCTGGAATAAAATATGCTGTTTGAATTTCAGTCTTAACTACTACTCAACTCTACTTAAAAACAATATAATATTCTAGAAAATAATAGTTCTACTGTCTGTATGCAAATGCAATTTTCTAATGTTTGTATTATTTTCTGTGTGTAAATTTCGGAAGTCAATAGAGAAAATTGTTTTCTATTATCTATTTTTTATGCATATATATATGTAGGTTGATAATATTGATGTGAATGAAATTGGTCAAGCACAAACTGTTGCATTATTACGAAGTAAACCTGTAAATACTTTTGTTACTTTAGTTGTCAAACGATCAAGAAATAATTCCCATAATGCAGATATCAATAATAATAGTAATAATAATAATAATGACCATAATCTTGATCAAGCATGTCTACCTGATTTGAAAACTATTCAACCATCTGTTATCTGTACAATAGCATCAAGTTGTTGTATAAATACTGTAAATGAACAACCAACAAAATCAATATTATCTTCAATATCCTCATTACCATCAACATCACAACCAATAACACAACAACATAATGAAAGAGTGATTGTGGAACAACCATCTAGTCATGATATAAAAATACCTGATAAGGTTAGCATTGATAATTGTATTTTTTCCATTAGTGAATAATATTGTACCAAATCAACCTGATTTCTAGATGATAGTCTTAATTTTTTTGCTAAAATATTCGTTAAACTACATCAGATCTGTTACAATTGTATAATACTTACGTGAAAGACTAATCAACTACTTAAAATTCTAACGGAATAGTACCATTGTTCATACTGTGAAAGGTCAAAAGTTGAAAGTAAAACGCTTAATAAAACAAGTTCATAAAAACAGAATGTAGGGGGGGATAAAAGTTGCATCCATACATTTCTCTCTGTTATTCATTACTATTGATTGTAAGTTACTGATTTTGACCTTTTTCCCATAAGTCTCCTAGAAATACCTCAAGTTACACTGCTTTTTATTGGTTAATTATTGATACCCTCTAGCTGGTAAGGATAACCACAATAACAACTTTTAAATTAAGTAGTCTGGACTTAACAACATGGCTCAGACCAGAAGTTAGTGACTTTAGGGATTGATGCCAGGTTTTGGTTTGACCACCCCTAACTTTCTTCCGTCCATCTCCAACACTAGTCAACATGGCGGTGGTTGAGTATGAGTAATACGTGGCTTAACCAGTCGATGCAGATTCACAATCTCATCAACTGATTTACTATCATTCCCTGTTATCCTGCGTCTAACCTACAAACTACGATTCTGATTAAAGAAGTAAATTGCAAAAGAAACATTAAAATGTAATAAACTGTTTATTTCAATCTTTTATATACATAGTTCCCTTTATGATTTTGAAAAGAGCAAGAACAAAGATTCTAGCTGTAGTATTGCTATACTATACGAATATGTCTTTAATATAACAATATAACTTCCGACCAAACTCTTTCATGTAAGTAATTTAAACCCAATATGTAATTATAATTTTAAATATCACAGGTTGTAAGCGGCTGACGAGAACCTACGAAAAAAATGAATCCATGCTATTCTGCTAGAATTTTTATTTCAATCTTGTAAATATGAATGTAGGGTATTAACAATACAACAAATCTACTGGTCTAAGAAGACTAGATATTATGTTCTGAAACAATTGTTCATTTCAATATTTTTATTTTTTCTAATCATGTATTTTCTATTACCATTTACTGTTTATTCTAATCGATTTTCATTTTTGTGTATGTGTTTGTTTGTTAAAACATAACAGTTTTTTTAATACTTTCACTCTCACGCACTAGGCTCTGCATTCAATAGTACATATTATATTTTTTATCTATTACTTGATAGTTAGTGTTTTGTTCTGCAAAATATCCCATTATCAATTTTTTCTTATTGACTATCCCTAATGAAGTTTAGCTTTTTTTTCATCGATGATTTATTGAACTACTTCGTTGACTTGGAAATTTATCTTAATAATAGTGGTAGAGTGATCCTGCTTCGGTTTGACGCCCGTGCAGTATTCCAGCCCTCACACAAATCGAATGACGAAGTGTGATACATATATATTTGGTGCCTCCTTATACCAAGGTTTATATGTTTAAATAAAATAATAATAAGTAGAGTGATACTTATGTTATAATTTGTCGTTTGAATGCTTATTGTCTTGGCTCTTTTAATGCTACCTTTTGTATCTGGTCGTCGTTGATTGTTATGTCGGAAACGCTTATCAATTATACTCGGAACGATGGACCTCTGAAATTCCCACGACGCGAAAGTAAGAACACAAATACGACGACGACGATTCTAGTAGAAAATACACTCATCTATATATTGATTGTACACCCTTCGGTTACGCTCCCAGGTCGTTAAGATCAGCATTAATCCAACTTCCTTTTCAGGTTCCTCAAGAAATACCCTTCCACGGTGTGGGCAGCCCGGAAGTGATATCAGCCCTCATACCCGTAACAGCACACGAGACCAAGTTGGTCACATTCAAATCCTTCCTACACCTCCTAATAACTCTCTTATCTACTCGACTAATCCTTCTCACGTCCCTTTATTACCTCGCAGCGCTAGGGCAAACGATTCGAGTACGTGGAACGCTATTCCTGGCCTCCTAAAACCATGCTCTAAATTACATGTAGGAGCTTTTAACGTCTGAGTGAGCCATGTTAGTAGGTGTAGACCACCTGGTTGGGGACTGCGAGATGATAGCAACCGATGGTTAGAGACCCTGAATGACATGGCTCAAAATCGTTTGCAATGGCGCAGGTGCATACACTCTTTGTGTTCTCCCAAATTCTAATCTTCTGAATTCTTCATGTCCCTTTTTTCCTCTTTCCAAATTTGTTTCACTGGATTATACTCCTTGGATAACATCTTCAAACCCTAATCTTTCCGATTACTGCTTGTACTCTTACTACCTTTAACACTACGGGATTGAATCGACAACTGCATTTCTGTGCTAATGTGGTGTGGCAACTCGAACTGATGTACGTACGTACGAAGTTCCACGTTGTTACTGACTGACTGACCAATCTATATAGTAATATTTACAGTAATTATGGTAATCATTAGCTTCAAGATGGATTTGTAATTTCAAAAGAATAGCCGTGATTTATGGAATTTAACTAATATTAAAAGCGATACAGATGTCATAGGTGACATTTAATGATCGTCATTCTCTATCCGCAAACTTACTGAAATCGGAAATGTAAACCAGTGAATTTTGACTCTTTAGTCCAAACTGCTAGATCTGAAGATTGAAAAATCTATCCAGTGTTCAAACATAGCCTTCTCTCTCCAATACGAAGAACGAAATAAGACAAGAAAAATAATTTTGATGTTTTCTTAGCTCATGTTTACTAGCCTTTAAAACTTATTTTAGACTGAACCATAATTGTAATTCCCAAATCTAAACAACAATGAAAGTCTCGCAATTCCCTTAATTGTAATTTTCGTGTGTGTGTGTGTGTGTACAGAATAACCAACAATGGTTTACAAACTACCATCACTATTACTACGACTACCATTACTATTACCACTACTTGCATTCTGATCCGCTAAGAGATAAATCAAACTTTTCAAATGGATTACTTCTTTCCTTAGATTAGGTTGATTATAGTCTAACTAAGTTTTGATTATTTCATTTGTTTTTATGATTGGATTTTGTTGACAGAAATAGTTACGTCAGCTTCTAGGATAAGAAAGTATAAATGTTTGTTATTTTGTAATTGAATACATAAATTATGAACTTATAAATAAGCCTCTTGTACTAAGATATTATACCTGATTTCAAGTTTTCGGGGTTAGTATCAAGTCATCTATATACATAATTAACGCAAAAATAGCCCTGTTGCGCTCTGCACCATCATGCAGCTCTAAGTTAATGGTTGGTTTTGTTAATGTTTCTAATTCAAAATGAATATTTACTGGGTTTATGACTCGTGGAAAAGCTTACATAAAATACATTCTTTTGAATAATTTAATTCATTTATCAAGGACCTCTTTTTTTTACCTGAGCAATGTCGCTTTAAGGTTTGTATATTTCAATGCCCAGTTTGTTATTAGAGTAAAGCAGTTAAGATTGTTGAACTATTCAGTTATTTGGGTAGCCTTATTAGAATTGATGAGTTGATGTCTGACTATTACTACGCATCTTGCTGTGACCTAGTAAAATATCTCTACACGAAATGACTCTTAATTATAATAATCCCGCTTTGTTTAACTCTTAAATAATCTCCACATAGATTTCGTTATCAGTACTGTTCCTAATCCTAAAATTGTACATTTGTCATAATGTGAGTGCCTAATCTATAAGATCTCACGTGGAAGTCACATCATTGTCTACACTGACTCGTCCTATCGTAATCATCATCAATATATGGTGGATAACACATTTAGGCTGGAGATGGAAATATATATTTAATATGAATAAAAATGATAAGACAACACACAAGAATGACCACGCCTGCGAGGCTGAGCCACGCCATCTGATTGGATTCAATTAATCCTTTCCGCCCTCTCCATAGTTGTGTTTTTCTCCGCATAAAATGTTGAATATCTATTTTCCCAGTTCTCTCGTTTTCAGCTTTGAGGGTTGTGTGGTTAGAGCCTAATGCCCTTACAGACCAACTTTTTTATACATCAACCGGAGTTTACTGACTATTAACACCCTCTTTGTCTGTACTACAAGAACAAGTTCAAAGCGATTGATTGTCAATATTGTTTAGTCCTGTAATCGCGCATAATATTGATATTCTTTTTCTGCTCAAACTTAGAAGTGCTTTCGTCACTAACTTAGCTCTCTATAGGCCTAACCTTTTTCGCTCCCCTAAAATTTAAAAAGATATAACTGTCCTGAAACAAGTTTTGAGAAGAGGGTCACATATGATACTTTGGGTGAGAAAAAGTCGTACTTAGCCATACTGAAGTTGATAAGTTGATGTTTGACTTGATCCCGATTTCCGATATGAAATATTCTTATGGATCTCATCAACTTGTGATGTTGATTTTAGCTAAAATCCAGACATCCTACCTATAATCAACAAGAAATTTATATTTTATAGTTTAAATGTAACATAAAATAACGTGTCTAAAAATTGGCTGCAGTGACGCAGATTCATTCATTATTTATCTTCCCGCAAATCGCCGTGTTTATGTTTATCTATCTATTTGTGATACCTCCAGTGCATATAAAGTGTTCTAATGTATAGTTGAAAATGAGTATACTACACAATATTTCTCCTTGTCCCATTCTACCGCTGTGAACTGTTCTCGTTGAGTTCGGAAAATATATACATTTAACATATATATGATTATTGTTTTTGTAAAATAATCAAGCAGATAACAATGAATTGTTTGATGCTAGCTGTTGGTTAATAATAAATGAATTGTTTACCAAACACTAGATCAAACAGACACTTGTTAGGTTGAACCTTACATTGATCAAATAAAGGCATCTCGTCAACCTACAAAATCTCTGTCTTAACTACCTTTGTTTCTTACGCTTTTCAATTGTAGGTACTTAGTACTTTTTAAAAAATGTATGTCTCCCTCTTGTTGTTTTATCCTTCTGTTTATCTCATTTGAACTAATCAATACGCAACCACTTTATGTCTCCAGTTCCTTTTCTATATCTTCGTCAAGATGAAATGTTTGTTACATATGAAGCCTACCTATTAATTGGAAAAACCATTATAATGATGTAACCATAAGTACTACTGATTCGTTCGAACTAGTAGTGTGTCGATGTACCAAGTTCATTAGCATTTATAAAAAACTCATTGGATAAGTAAAACGCTTATCTTTAGGTAAAAAATTTGTAGATGATAATATCAAAAATATTTCTACTTTTTCTAAGACATCAAAACTTTCTACTGACTTTTTTCAACATAAAATAGTTTTTAAAATTGTAATTTATTTTCTCGTAAATCTTAACTTACACATTTGTTTTTATTTTTGCATATCCTCTATTTTAAGCTACCCGAATGGAATTGTTGTTCATCCGACATCTCTCAAAAACTCCATCCCCTTCCACCTTCACATCCTTCATATAAACTTCATGAAATCGATTCATCTCACTGGTCAATTTATTTATTGAATATACATTTACCTTTGACAAAAGTCAATGAATCCGATAAAATTACAAAAATACGACAATATACAGATTCTACTGTACATCAATCAACAGTTAAACGATATACAGGTAATCCTGTCACCTTAGGTGTAAGTGTATCAGTAAGACGCTTGTCAAATAATTTGTGTGTTAATAGCAATGATGCCCTTGGTGGTGGACTCAGTAGTTCTACTACTGCTACTGCTAATACTACTGTTACTGTTAATGAAAAACATCCAAGTGTACAAATTGATAAAACTAATGATTCACAATGGAATGCTGTCTTTGTAAGAACTGTAATTGATGGTGGTCCTGCTTATCAAGTAAGTGTTGTTATGACTTGTTTATTATTTATTTATCTTCTTTTCTTTTAAAAATTATTTATTGTTTTGTTTTATTATTATTTTTTCCAAAATCTATCTTTCTGTTGTTGTTTCTTTTTGTAATTTTCGGTTAGACGCAAAGTTTTGGTTAGGAGATTATGTTGTTTTTTTTTGGTAAAATTTTGACAGTTACAATCCTACTGATTATCTATTCATTTGTGATTATTCTTTTTTCTTTTAAAAAACAATACTGTATGCTATAATTTCATCTTGATAAAATAAGAAATTACCATTTTCCAATTCAAGGGTATTTAATGTAAACACGCATTTGGATATGTATATGTATTGATCATGCTTAAATCTCTCAGCTAATTGATACAACACATTCTTTAATACTATAAGTGATATTTCATAAAATTAGCTTGGGTAAAGAAAAAAATATTGTGAACAAATAAAGAACTACAAGATTTATAAAATGAATTGAATTCCACTGCTTCTTAAATAGTTATAAATGAAATGTAGTTTAATGACCTGCACTTATCGCTTTCAGTTGAATTTATGGATATCATGTTCTTGAGGTAGGATGTATTTATGAAGGACTAAGAAATGTTTTTATAATTGATTAATTACTGAGTAGTGACCAATGTCAAGTTATTCTTAGTGCAAATCCAATTCTACCTGTTAAATTGCTATGCGACCACTAGTCTAGGTGGCTCGACATCGCATGTACTATGTTGAGATAGATATATGGTGTTGGTTGGTAGTAGCCGACAAGTTTCGTGCTATTTGGCACTCATCAAAAAGGTGTACCCCACAATCTTGAGATAGCCTTCTGTAAGGTTTCTAAGCATATTACTCGAAATGTTGCCTTAAGGAAAACATTGTTTCTTCTAAGTGAAACGACTGGTCACTTAATGTATAATCGACATTAGGAAAAGATTAAAGCATAAACCATTCAAAATTATTGATAAACTACAAATACCACTTTTACTCCCCTTTTCAGTAGGCATTAATACGAGGTGTTTCTGAACTGACTTTTGTATTCAAAAGAAAAAAGGTTGTAAACCTGTACAATAAAAAAAATAATTGTTATGAACTATTGTTTGAACTATTATATAATTCTTTTTCTATTGTATCTATTCATTATTGTCTACTCATTCAATTAGTTTTTCCTCTTAATTGTGATTCTTGATTACATAGTTGTTTACTTTAATTATCACTATTCATATGACTTAACACTTAATATATAAATACACACTGATTTCAGCCACTATATTCAATGCCATATTTTGTGATCGAACGCATATTATGTTGCATCTGCTGAATACTTAACTGACTTAGTACCTGGTACCGAGAGCCGTGAATCAAACGATGTTTGTAAGAACATGAAGACTACAGACTAGGACTTGACACACATGATATTGATCACCAACTAGTGATCAATCAATTGTGAATATATAAGGATTTATTTGACGCTTAAAATAAGTCTAAATAAACACCTAAATACTCTAATTTTCAAAAAGTTTACACTGATTAATAGTCATATTTGTATGTAGAAAACTAAGTAGTTCTTGACATTAATTAATAATTTACTGAATAAATCTAGATATATAGTATCATAGAATTAACTACCTATAACCAACTGATGTAACTAATGTAAGTGATTACCCCTTAAAATGTGTCTATATGTCACGGAAGATTTGAAAAAGAAATCAATATTGTATATCAATCGCACTCAAATCAGTTAGGATCTGGCTCACCATATCATGTTATATGATGGGAATGGTTTAACTCATTAGTTCTTGTTGACCTTTGGGAAATTTATTAAAATTCTTACTTTAATGGATGATATAACTAATAGTGGCAGCACTCTAGTATCAATAATCATGTTGCTTATTCAATTTTTGTTCCTTCTAGGTTAGGTTTGCAGAACCTCGTACTTTTTCTAATATTTACACAGCTAAGTACATGAATACGTATATGAGTACTAGGTTGTATTACTTATAGTTAAAAATTAATTAATGGACTACAATGAAAAACTTTTATGAATATTCTTCAATATTTGAATGAATTATTATTTATACTTGTTACCCTTCATGGATCATTGGCCGCCGACCAAGAATCACCAGCCAACTCTGTCCTGCGTTATGCTTTCCACTTACTGTCTAGTGCTATTCGCTCCTTAATGCCTGCCTCCAAATCCCGGCGCAATATGTTCTTTGGTCTTTCTCTTTTCTTTTTGTCTTGAGAATTCCAAATTAGGGCTTGCCTTGAAATGCGGTTTGATGATTTTCGTAAAGTGTAACCTATCCACCTCCATCATCTTGTCCTAATTTCCTCCTTAACTGGAAGCTGGTTTGTTCTCTGCAACAGTAGGTCACTACTGATTATGTCTGATCAACGAACAGTTTGACAGAAATTATTCACCGAAAAATTTTACATAAGATTCCTGGACACAATGTTGGATTTATCTAAATTTCAATAACTGAGATTATTTATAATATAATTTTTACGTATGATGTACAACAAAAAATGTTAAAATCTTTCCATTACTATTTATGGTATTATTCTCTACATTCTATTAATGATTAGTTTTTGCTACTCTATCAGTTTTCTCCAGAGATTGAAAGTTTTAGCTATTGTCACAATGTACTGAAATCAGTTAGTGAGCCAGTCCATGTATCATTACATTTTACGTAGTTGAACAGTAATATTCACTTAGGTGAAATCGATTCTTCGTTACTATAATGGGTTTGCATTTCTGTACAGTTTAAACATATATGACCCCCATAGATGTTGGTCAATTATGTAATATTTGGTTAAGTTTGTCATCAGAATGACTTGTGAAAAATTAAATGCAACGTAATAGTACCGTAAACTTGGTAATAAGTAATCTCAACTTATACTACTTGGATATTAACAAAATTGAACTAACGACTAGTAAAATATATCGTTTTCAGTTAATAATACACTTGGTTATTTACAAAATACTCAACACAAAATATATTAACTGAAATTCAGAAAGTCATCAATTAGTCAGTCAATGAACATGAATTCTGATTATTAATTTTCGTCTCTGACTATCTTAACATCATGTGTGGATAATTCACTCGATTTTTGGCCATACGAAAATCCAAACCGTTTTTATGTATTCAAAATAGTTTGTTCTCTTCCTTAACTTACCCTGGTAATATTGTTTTTTGATTCAGCATGGTGAGTTTCATGTTATTTTCTCTATTAACCTTGTTTCCTCTAAACTTCATCGACCTTTTTAATTTCTCATATATAAATATTCTTAACAAGTATAAGTGTGGTCAGATTGTTAGACATATATTACGCTAATATATCACATAGTTCTGATAATCTCCGTCGTTTTATTACACTGTCCAAATTTATCTAGGGAACTAATTATGTTAAACTTCCTTAAACTGTCAATCTTTAAATTAATTGCATAATACTATTTCGAATTTTGTGGTGTTCTACTCGAGAGCTGAGTGGTGGAGTTTAACCATCATTTCAGGAGTGAGACAAGTATATCACATTTGTCAATGAACAACTGTCAAATAATATTGCAAATCAACTTAAGTTGAGTATTTAAATTATTACATCGAAGCATAATTGTCTAACAGAAATACTTTCACCACAAAGCCTGTAGGTATTAGTTTTGATCTCTGACAGGTTTTTAAAGTATACAATCATGTTTATCTACCTAAAGTCAGTTCCTGGCGATAAACTATTATCAACTACACCAGTTTTCTGTATATGAAGTGTAAATGTTGATGTTTACTTAATTGTGTATAATCCATTTCAGATGAATATAAACTCTTAACTCTCTCTCTCCCTCTCTCTCTATATATATATATATATATGCTTATAATTTACAATTAATTGACCATATGCAGAATTTTCACATAACTGAAATAAAACAGATAATCTAAAATCTACATAATATGGGAATGTTTACAATGCATGAGAATTATTACAAATTAATATTACAGACAAAATAGTTTTCTGTTAACATTACTATTATTATTTTCCTACTATGCATCCACACAGCTTTCTCTAGCTATTGAGATTGATTGTGTATAACAATGTATTAGTAACTAATGCCATTTCCATAATAACGTCGTAATAGTGTTACCTAAAACAGTAAAGATAAACAATAAAAGACCTGTATAACTGGTTGGTAACGTCAGTGATTATTGCGTAGGATAGTGTGAGTTCGAGCCATGAGTGGAATGATTGATATGAGTCCCAATCAACATGAATCTGGAGATTTCCTCTTAAAGTAACATTTTCCGAGAATTCAATTCAAACTAACTCGTAGAGAAATTCTTTAAAGTCGCCATTTTGGATTTTTAAGCCTCCTATATTTAGTTGAATTCAGCACTATAAACGGATAATCTTCTCGGACCCATGTGTTTTGTCCTGCATTATTTTCTGGCGAAATAATAATAAGACTTCTGCATGTTTTATTTTCCTAATTATTGGGGGGGTATCAGGAATCACCAGGAGTATAGTCTCAGTTTCACTGGAAGTGATTATGCGTTCCTGTCTCAAATTGCGTAACATGCGGCGGATTAAAATAGCCTCTAACTATCGAATATCAATTTAGGTACAAGGAGATATCGCGTTATCCGGCTGAAATAATCCTATTATGAAGTTGGTAGATAAAATTTGGTTGGTTTTAGATACTACATAACCATGATATTTGTTCACTATTTACTGACAGATCAATACAAGAAAAAAATAAGTAGTTAGTTTTATCACATATTTAATCATTGCAACTTGTCAACATATCATCTTATCTTGAGAAATTTTCAGTTCATTACAATTCGAAGGATTTGTATCCTTTACACTATAATTTTGTTAGTTATTATAAACGCTATGCCAAGTATTATATCCTAAACAACTCACTACCATTGAAACTAACCAAAAAAACGAGTTAACATGCATTACATGTCCTACTTTCTGTACATTACACTGTACATAAATGCATACTAATCGTTAGGTATCGTTTTACATTTTTAATTGATTTTACACACAGTGAACATCTATAAATTTCCTCTCAAGATATTCTTTATTGTTTATTTCCCCATGTTCCAAGTAATTGGGATGACTTCATATTTTGGAATAATAAAGAAATTTTTATTGCACGCCTCTTTTCTGCATTTAAATAATTTACTGACATTTATCGTTTGTTTATTTTAGGATGGACGTTTACAAGTTGGTGATCGTTTATTAACTATAGATGATCAAAATTTATCTGGATTATCTACTACTGATGCACTTAATCGTCTAAAATCTGTTATTGCAAAAGATTTGAATGAATCTCCTCATCCATGTGTTCATCTTTTGATTGCTCGACCTCGGGATGGAATTGATCCAGATAATTCTTATACAAATTCTATGGAAAATAAAAGTGAGAATGCAATGAATAAAATCACCAGTTCTAATCAGCGTAAATCTTTCTCGGAAGTGGTAAGTATATGTGTATGATAATTGTCTATGATAAGTTCTGAAATCTTTAAGTCTCACTGATCAAAATATCTCAGTTCAATAATAAAATGAACCAGTACACTACTACTACGTCATGAGTGAATGATCGAAGAATACTTGTAGCTTGAGATGATGTTGGAAATGTGATCTCTGAGGTTTCATTGTTCTTTTGAATAACACTATCAACTCGTAATTCAAGGAGAAGTTGGTTGCTAAAATTTTGATGTATGAAGTATTGAGATCAATCCCCATGAAGAAATACTTGGATGTCGTCTGACTAAATTAAAATGGCTTAATTACATTCACTTTTATTATTTATTTTGTAGAAATGCTTCTGTTAGTAATGTTTTCCTACATGTATAATAAGATAAATAATCTTATAGTATGTCACCAACATTTGTAACTTTGACTATTCATTCTAAATCTTTGATTTAGAACTTCTTTGTTATTCGTAACACAGTGCAGTAGTGTCTCTGTTCTTAAGGAGTTCAAATCTCGCTTTACGTACTTCGGTTTAGGAAACCGGATAGTATCATCTCATACATGGAGCGTGACTAATACGCAGATATATGGTGAACAAATTAATTTGCTATAACCAGCGCGTTGAAGTAAGTTATGATCGACCATACCTAACTCATTCATATCCCAACTACCTCAGTCAATGTAAGTTTATGATCACTCCATCAACCTGCAATAACAATACTCTATAATATTTATGGTCAATTTTAACTAAAGATATATATATTTGAACTCTTTAAATTTTGTTTATTACAATTTTCAGGCAACAAACGAATCACATAATGATAATAGTGCTAATTCAAAACCGCTACTAGTCTCTGCTGTAGTACACTCATCGGAATCTGTTTCAATGGCCGGGGGGAATTCACATGATTCATATAATCCACCTGGAAAATACTCTTTATCATCTAATCATCTTGCTGTAACCAACTTATCACCGTCATCATCGTCACAACATCTACAATCACAAAAACAATCCACCAATCTTTCTAACACCTCTTATCCTCTGTGTCTAATTCAAAATTCTCAGGTTAGTTAGTTGAATCTAATTCCGCTCATATCATTCACCATTATTCATTTTTATCATTGTTGCTTTATTAATTATTATTAATAATAATGGAATAAACGTTTTAAACTGTTAACCAATTAACTTAATTGAAAGAAATCTGATTTCATTAGAAGTCTACTATTTTTTGAAGTCGTTTATATTATCCTTTTTCTCGTCCTTCGTATATTTGCAGTTTGTTTTTCATTCAACAATGTTAGGGACTCCTTTTAACTTATGAATTACTACTACTACTACTACTACTACTACTACTACTACTACTACTAATAATAATAATAATAATAATAATAATAATAATAATAATAATAATAATAATAATGTTTTGCCATTATTATGAATAATCAAAAGTCTTCCGTCTAAAACTCAAGAAAGTATTTAAACATGATCAAGAGTGAGTTCGGTTAATTAGGTAAACGAAATTAAACAATTACGTTCTTCTAGCTTTACTCATAGTTTATGAATATTGTCTTTAAAACTCTTGCTTTTTCCAGTCTGCCAACTAACCTTATCAGCCAAACTCCCATAGATTTTATTTATTTAATTAACATTCAACTTCGAAAAAACGCCCGTGACATTCTAACTTGTACTGTAGTAGTTCAAGGTCAGAAATTCTGTACTGGTGGACTAATTTCTGTTAAATACTTTAATTTATGTAAGTTCTAATAGGTTAGTAATTTCTGAAAACTTTCCATTTTAATGACTAACCTTAACATTATCCTTCGACAAAACATAGATCAAGACCAAATGGTAATATATCATTTTTTGCCACCCAATAACTTTTCAACCACTCTCACTTAGTGCTTGAATGAACTCGGAGTCTGTAATAATTAATGCTACAGTCTTAATGCTAAATATTCGACTAAAATTTTTTTGTAAACGTTAGAGATGCTGTGAGTTGGCTATGTAAATTGAATAACTGATGATACGAATTCTTTAACTGTTTAAAGCGTGAACATAATACTTAGCTATTGAATGTCTAAGTTTCATGGCATTTATATTGATTGAATAACTGACTTCTATACACTGACGATTTCTCAGTCTGAATTAACCTTTTATTTACCACTAACTTTTTATTGTTACATTTTTTCTCTACAGTTTTATCAATGTACTTATTTTTACTTAGATCTTTATCTCTAAATTGCATCCCTAACAAACAGTAGATTGGTGTTTGAAACCAAATGATTCAATGACATGATGATATAATAAAACTTGAAAGTATTAAGTTACGGTATTGAAAAGTGGTTTAAAATATATTCCTTATAGTGTGCTTTAATTTCTAAATATTATACTCCACAATATCAATCCTAACGTTATATAAAACTGTATTTGGATTCCACTACTAACCGCAATTCAAATATACTGGAAAAACCTTGTTATTAAAAGGGAATATCAAGGCATCCACTCAGAACCTGTCATATACCAACAAAGGCCGATCACTTGTAACCCCGAATATGAGCAACACCGGAAAAATTAAAATCCCTACTGATTAGTAAACGGAATACACCCATCAAGACATTAAATAAGAAAAATTAGACAATAGTATGTTGAAACGTGGGAATAATTTGACAATCTGTTGTTCGTAACTTTTATTAATATTTTGTGTTTTTCGTTTGCTATTATTGTTTATCGATTATTCAGTATGATATCTGTTGTTTCCCTATGTTTATCCATCATTTGATCCACATGGTTGTCTGCTTTTTACTTGTGACCAAAAAAACCATGTTGATTACCTTCCGTTCTTTTGTCGGTTTATTTTTTAGAAGTTAATTCAAACGCTTCTGTCATTGAGTGCTGTTATCATTATTGGTATGATAATTATTATGATTATTATTATATCTGGAAAAGCGAGCAGTTAATTTAATAATGGATTAGATCTAATTGACCCATTTATTGTTCTGATTTTTTTTCAAAGTTCATTATACGTTTTAGTACGCTAGCAAAGCAAAGCATGATAATATGGCCTAGAAAAGTGACATTACATCGTTTTTATGCTGAATACAGAATATAAATGACACGTAATTACCGTTCTTTGTTTTCTTCTCTTTATCTAATGTAATCTAAATTTACATTCTTTTATTTCTTTACTTTTTCAATTTTTCTGAATTTTTACATTGTCTTTTCCGTTTCTGATTTGGTGCAATATAAATTACACTTCAGTTTTATTCTTATTTCATTCGCATTCTCTATACCAAGTTGTATTTATTTTATAACCATTAATGTATGTTGGAAATTATTACAAAGCGCAAGTTGTCGATCTTTTCATCGCATTATCGATTAATCGATGGATGATTAAGGTAAAGTCGACTTATTTCTATTACTATTAGTAGTAGTAGTAGTAGTCATAGTGTTACTTCAACTGATCGATACTATGGTAGTCTTCACTTAATTACACCGATATAATTCAATATGACTTACAAATGGCTCATTCAGTCTTCAAAATAATTAAACACCAACCAGGCTCTTTTCAAACTGACCAACACAAAGCCCAATTCTGTTACAATCGCGCAGGTACCAAGATACTCAATTGACCAACATTTTACAATTATAGATATCTATACTTTGTATTGTCCTCTGAGTGCAATTAACTTGTCTTTTTCCTTTATTTAAACCCACTCTTCTCAACCATCAACCCTAAGTTCGGAAAACGTGTTATGCCTTTCTATTTGAATTCGCTGAATTAGATATAATCTCTACTGTTGGCATGCTCATCGTAATCTGAAGTACAGTAGTAAACAAATGTTGTATTAACACTAACACTGTACTACCCTTAACATTATTGAGAGTTCAAATAATTAGATCTAATCGATTATTAAATTAACTGCTCGTTTTTTCCAAATATGGTTTGCATCAAATAGTTGTACGGGTTTCGTTTAATACTCACTTTTTTTTCAGTTATTTCACTAGATAACAATTCTTCCAAATGATTAGAAATTCGTCAAACCCTAATTTCCAACTTACATTTAACATATACTGCATACGTTGGACATTGTTTATGATTATTCTTTTACCTTTTCTTACTACAGTATGGTTGTGATTTAATGGCAAAAGAACATATTCTAGAATTGTATTGGGAGCTGTACTAGAGAACTGTTATTATAAGAGTATCTGTGTTGTTATCTAGATGGAGTATTGATTAATCCGCCTAGATTATCAATATAGAAGACCAATGACCTTCCTTCGACTGATAGCTCAATTGATATAAGTAATATTACAATATAGACATAACTACGCCATAAGTAAAAGGGAGCTGAATAATAAGTTCACAGTTAATTATCACTAACTTAAGGAAAGAAAAACACATAATAGTAGTTTACGTACCTAACGAAAGCTTGCAAACTTGAAAACATAAGAATACAGTAGTCCAAACTTCTAATAATAATTATACAATAAAAATACATAATAACTCTCTATAAGTTAATTACAAAAGTTACAATAATAATTATATTTACCTCGTTGGTGTAAACCAGGTGAATAACCTCTATTCAAACTAGTTTTTTGTTCTCATTTCTACCATCCCTCTTAAAGCAAATTTGTTCTGTACGTTTTTCTTTCTTCATATCAATTTTTCAATTTACATATATTTGTTTTGGTTATAAAATAGTAATGTGTAATTCTTCTAATATTTTTTACTAGATATCGTTCATTCGTTTGCTCGTATGTTTGTTTCTGTGTTTGTGCACAGAAATACAAGAAGGAAAAAACAAACAGATTATTTTGCTCATCATTTTCAAATCAAATCCTATATGACTACTTAACAATAGCTAAAATAGTGGTAAAAAGGGGCAAAGTAATTTTGGAAATGCAAATGGAAATACTAAGAAAAACAAACAATATTTTTTTAATCATAGTTGTTTTGTTTCCCTGTAAATTGTTTACTCTCCTTTGTCGATTACATTCATTAACAAAACAACCATACTTTGCTTTTCTTCCATGGCACATAGGTTGTATTATTGTCACTTCAATTGATGATTGTTTTCTTTTTAGTTGAAGGGGTTTGTAGCGGTCGGCTTAATTTGTACCTTGCCTTCGACACGAATTAATCTCCGTTGAGATATCGTCGTAAACTAAGAACTACCGGCCCTGCCACTTCGTCAGTACAAACCCACAATATTCTCAGAAATCGAACCCAAGACTTTGTTTTGCGCAGAGTCCATAACCTTTAAGACTGCCGGATCAATATTCAGTGGTTACTGGCTCTACCATCTTCCGTTGCCTTCAATTTGTAACTGCCCCACATTCTAAATGATTGAAGTTAACTGGTTATGGATCCTCGCTAGAACTTCAGAGAGTAGCTAACTTAATTACTTACGCTTGTTATCCCTCGTGGAAGAGCATAGGCCTCCCACCAGCGTTTTCCATCCAACTTTGTCCTGGGAAATATTTTCCAGTTGCTATTCACTCTTTTTATATCTGCTTCCAATTCTCGACACAGTGTGTTCCTTGGCCCCCTTCTTTTCCGTTTTCCTCCAGGATCCCAAGTTAGCGCTTGTTTCGTGATGCTGTTCGATAATTTCTACAGTGTATTTCCTATGCACTGCCAACTTCTTTTCCTAATTTCCTCTTCATCTGGAAGCTGATTTGTCCTCTCTCATAGTAGGTTGTTGCTGATGGTATCCAGTCAACAAACATTGAGCATGTTTTGTAGACAATTGTTCATTATTACTCGTACATTTTTAATAATAGTTGTGGGAGTTCTCCAAGTATAGTAGAACTGTCTTCACGTTCGTATTGAAGATTATGAATTCGATGTTGGCTTGCAGATAGTTTTTTTTAGCTCCATATGTTTTTTTGTTGTAGAAATGTGCTCGCCTTGCCAATCCTTGCCTTTACGTCTGCATCAAATCCTCCTTGTTCATCAATGATGCTACCCGGATATACGAAAGTTATCACCTCTTACAGAACTACTCCATTGAGTGTGATCGTTTTGGCGATCGTAAATAATTGCGTTCATTAAATATGATAGTTAGTTATCCATTTGGTTCAGCTATGATTAAACAATCAGTTTTGAATATTTAATCGTGTAAACATGGTATATATAAATGGTATTTTATAATTTTTGATGTAATCTTTTTCCTTAAACCAGTACATAATCACTAAAACTGGCATAGATCATGTTCATTTCTGATAAAAATTGGTTAGTCGATTTAATTCGAACAGTTTTTTATGACCTCAAGTTCTTGCCTCCTTTAGGAACTGAATACAAAACCTACTGACATGCTCTTTACGTATAGATAACTGAATTATTGTTAATAACCAGTAAGATATTATGTAATATCTATGTTTTCTTGTATATGATATTATATAAGCGTAACATAATCCTTCATTATTATTATTATTTCTTTGAATCTCTCATTATAGTCCAGCGAAGAAATGTCAAAAACTTTGCATTTAAAATCAAATACTTATAATTCTACTGTAAATGTCGATAATTTCTATGCAAATGTGAGTATATAAAATTTTCCATTAACACTTGTCTAAAACTTGCCAATTATATTATTTGCTTAAATGTTTTTTGTCAGTAACATTTTTTAAAAAAAAATTCGATTGACTTATCCTACGTTGTGTATGTGTATGTCCCCATCAATCACGTAATATTGGCATCAGTTTCATTGCATGAAGTTTAGCATATTCATTAGTTAAATCATAATAAGGATAATGTAAGATTGATCTGTTTTGTTAAGTAAGCACCAATAACCAATCACTATACATCACATCCCGGTCTATATATATATATATATATCATAAAAGCAACATGTTAAAATCATCTGTTCATTGAATGTGTTACTCATATTCATTCTGTGTTGCTCTGTTGTTCCTGTTTTTATTAATATTGCTATCACAGCTATTTCTGTTATTAGTGTGTATTACTCTTGCTGGAAATGTAATTGTCATTTTTATTGACCAGTGGTGTGGTAGGTAGTTTTGTTTCATCACTTAATTACAATTTAAGGAATATATGCTTATGTATATATAAATGTATATTTACATTTACATGTAATCCCTATAACTCATTAACATTTTATCTTCTCTCTTTTTTTATCATTTCTTTTGTTCATTTATTAATTTTTCGTGGCTTGTTTGTTTATCTGCATGAATACCTGTGTATATGTATGCATAAATGCATGCAACAACATTTGTCGTTTGCATTTTCATCATTTTACTTCTATGTTATATAATTTGTTCAATATCATGCTATCTGTAGTAAATGTAGTCATTACTAGTCATTGTTTTACATATCTATCTATAATGCATTGTAATTCTTCATGTGTTTATATGTGTTTGCATGTTTTTTTGTGTTAATTCTACACTGATTCATCATCTGTTTTAATTACCTGTTTTTCTGTTACGATTTTTATTATCCAAGACGCATATTAGCGTGTCTGTCTGTGGGTGTGTTTACCCGCTTCTATTCCTCTGAGCATGCACCTGTTTCATACTCATTAAGTATTTTTTACGATTATCCTTTCCTGATAAATATTGTGATCTCCAGTACCTAAATATTAATATATATTTAAGTAAGCTCAACTGTTTTTCGTCTGTTTACTCTCACGAATATTAATTTCTCTGTTTTAATCCTCACATTAAACAACATTATGTAGAGTTTTTCTTCCGATTATTGACAGAGAAAAGATGAAAACACTTAACATAATTGTTGTTTCATCAATTTAACTTTGGAATTTTTTTCCTGCTGTGATTCATTTCATGGTTAACTTTGAGCATTTAAACTTTCCCTCTTTTGACAGTGTTATCTATGAGATGAATTCATTAATAGTGATACATCTGTTTTCTCAGCGGCTTCCTTTTATTATCTTCATACTCATTACTTGTTTATCTGTTAATGAGAAAAGTAATGCTATCAGCTGGTTAGGCTTTTTTTGTTTTTTCAAGAATATTTTTAAACCTCAAATCAGGTCATCACGATTGTCATTTGTAATTACCACTTATATAGTTATTTAGTTATTGAAACCAGCCAATAACATCCACAGTCAGGACAAACGATTAATTATATTCGCCTTCGATACTAATTAATTTCTTCGTCTTAAAATTTATACTACTAGTTGTAGATGTTATTTGCTCTGATAAATATACAATCTGAGATGGCCTATAGCAATAATATAAATAGATCGGGTTGATGCACTGAAATTATATTTATCATACTGTTTTTTTGTTTCGTCTTTTTCTTTTTGTTTATACACAACAAGTTCTCTTTGTTTTACCATCTACATATGCTCTCCCTTTTTTCTCTATTTTTGTTTACTCTTCCACTTTCAGTAATGAATTTAATAATCTACCTTACGAATTGAATTATTTTTACATTCCGGATACAAATCTAATGTTGTTGTTGTTGCTTGTAGTGTTAACTCACTCTAAATTATATTCCCCTTCTTTTTTATATACCATAAAATCTTTGAAAGACCTCCTTTGATGATTCTACTACTGTTTGCCTCTCCCTCTCGTTCCATTCACGTAGTATTCAAAACAAAATGTTTACGTATGCACTTACATGTAGTGATACTTTAATGTTTATACATTTGATCGGTTGTTTTCTACTATGGAATTGAACATAAAGATAGTATTATCGTTACTACTACTACTACCCTACTATAAGTAACATTCATCATCATCCTTATCGAAAAAAAACTAAGAATTGAGACAAATCTTTTCTCATATTGTGATTTGTTTGTTTGTTATTGCTCTATGCTCAACAGTTGTTTGCTTTTATGACATTGTATAAAAGAAACATGAAATAGAAAGCAAATAAGAATGTGTTTCGTTTCACATCACAGTGTTTGACTGAACTAAGTAAGTTTTGTTATTAGATTGTTTTTACTTTGAGACTAATATTATTTCCTGTTATTATAGTGTTGTGATAATTCATTATTGATTGTGTTCAATGTCATATTTGTCTAGTTTTGTTTAATCCTTACTGGTGGTCGAACCCTACTGGTCGATTTGCAATTTGACCAGTGATCTAATTGACTTTAACATCTTACGGATTATATTTTGATGTTAAGCAATATTTGAAGATGGTGATCGGCAAGAAATTTTGTTTGACTTTCGTTCAACATATTCCTTATATCAATGTATCGCAAAATAAAACTAACTTATTACATTGATATACTAGTTTAATAATATTGGGATCAAATTCTCAGACATTATTTTTGTATCCCAACCTCTTACATTGATATTCAGATTATACACATTCCTTTTTATGTGGCAATTCTTCATGTGAATCATACCTGTATTCAACCGTCGTGTTTACATAAATACTTTTTTGAGGAATTTTTTATCTATCGGCGTCAATAAATCGCAATGACTATTTATTGTGAACAGATGTTAATTTATTTTTGAATTTAGTTTACCGTATACTTGGTAGATTATTAATCGACTACTTTACAGAGAAAGCTCCAATTAATAGAACAAATTTGTAGTTCAGGTAGATAGATTCATGCAGTGATGTTGCGTTCGCTGAAATATGTAGTTTAATTGAAAGTTTTTTTGTTGTCACCCTAAATAAAATTATCAACATCAACTTCAAATGTAAATGAATATTTTAGAATGATTTCACAAGTTCCACATTGATCCGTTTTGATGATTTAATTAATGATTATTTACAATTGTGCAGGTGCATTAATTCTTCTTCTTCCCTGAAATTCTGAGATTTTATATTCCTCACAACGTTTTTTTTAAACTTCAGCTAATTTATATTTTCCTTTCGAGTCGTATCTTCGATGCATAATGCTTCCTATTACCACTGATACTGTTACTACCTCTACTATTCTGAGATTCGGTTTAGCAGTTTTATCTTGGTGTGCTAATCGGGTATGGCGTACACACGTACAGTTTTTACGTTGTGACTGACTGAAGATTGTTGATTGTCTTTTAAAAATGTCCAGAGAAACACAACATCCCTTACCGATGACAAGGTCAGTTACGCTCGTTCTCTCTCTCTCTCTCTCTCTCTCTCTCTCAAAAATGCTTTTACTACTCAGTGTATTCGGATATTTCTTTTAATTAGTTAATTTATTAAGACGAGTTAATAAAATAGTAATGTAATAAATTATATATGAGAAAAAAATACCCAGGAAATTTTTTTGGCATTTCATTAGCGTAAATAAGCAGATAGAGAGTGGATGAATGAGTGAATAAATGAGAGATATAGACAAAGAATCTAGTTATTAAACTTGAATGACGAAAAGGAAATGTATATTGATTGTTACCGGTCTTTCTTTTTTGCTCCAACTTTGTTTCTTTCTCTCCTTAGTCAAGCTATTTTAAAAATGTCATCGTTTTAATTAACTGGTACACGGACATATTTTTATACATAAGTGTAATGCTAAAATTATCAAGAATAATAAAACAATTCCTACTATTTCTCTTTATTTTCCACCTCTCTCTCCCTTCTGCATTCCATCTTCAGACTACCAAATCTGCTTCTTCATCATTATTAATATGTAATACAAAGACTAATGAAAACAACGATGAAAATATTGATGTCAATAGGACTAATCATCATGATGATGCTAATAACTGTAATACTGTTACTAATTCCCTCATTATTAATAATAGTTTTCAATGTGATTCAAAAACAGTTAACATTGATTATTGCGCGGTGAAAAAAGTTCAAATCCCTGTAACTTCCTGGTAAGTGCACAATGATATTATGACCAATGTAATGTTAAAAACAGTATTATTCGCTTGTGTTGCTCTAGTTCATGTTTATCAATACTTCTTATTCAGTTTAATCATAATGTAAGTGATCTGTTCTCCAATATACATATTAACCAAAACTACTGAGATTGTTAGACATGAACATAACTTGAGAAACAACTATTCACTTTGTACTTAAAACCCCACTCTCACCGCGATAATCTATCCGATCGATCACTTTCTCTCATCGTAATTAGCCCCTACAATTTATCATTCTTCAAATGTATAATAGTTACTTAAGGGTGACGTCATCGGGCTGCCACATGAAAATAATGAAACGCGGAGTGACAATGCAGATGAGCAACTTGTCTTTTAATGACTTTCACAGATGCTTAGAATAATGGAAACGGAAATGGGACAAGTGTATTGTCACAAATGCGGAGTATTATCGACAACATAAGATCAGTATAGTCCAAATTCTATAAAATGAAATTCTTAGAGCTGTAGTTTGAATAGTTTTTGACAGAGTTGTACCTGAGGACAATATAAAAAGTCTATGCGTATCTGTCTAATTTTATCTTCAAAATGTTGTTTGCTTATAGTGTGGGGATCGGGCAGCGACCACTGAATCACTAGTGAGAAGATTCGTAAAAGTTTTAAATTTTTAATCAACCAAGTTAGTTTTCTAATCTATCGGATAGAAGACACCACATTCTAAAATAGTCTGTACCTCAGTATGAATATTATATGCAGCGCCTAATAAAAATGTCAATTGACCTAGCTTTGTTGTTCATAATTTTATTCATTTAACTTCATCGATCCTCACTTAATGATCTAAGTTATGGCAGATAGTTCCCATAAAATACTGGGAAATTTTTGTGTGCATGAACGAACCTTCAGAAATTTTAAGTACCTTTTATTCTTTAGATCCGCCAATCTTCTTCATAGCTTCGATCACGAATTGATTCTAGTTCAATCGTCATTGAAAACATGGAAGCACTGGGTGCCTGTTTCGTCTCAATATAGAACTTTTCAGTACTACATATCCACGACCGGGTATCGGACCCAAGATCTTCTGTCTCGTGCATGAACGTTTGATCACTAGGACGTAATTCAGTGGTGTATGTGTCTAACGTCAATCAACTCACGATATTCCTCAACCTTTACACATTTTTTGCAGTGGAAGCTGTCTCACAATCGACGTAGTCGAACTCCACTGACCACTTGAACTCCAGGAGTTTTCTTTTCGGATACGAGGTCGTGAATGCTAACTGCCAATGAGTCTTTACAATTTTTTCAGTTTTTCGATGATGGTCGAGCCAAGATCAGTTCGTGATTTCAAGTATGAAAATCCTACAATCTCGACAAATCTTACTATACTACTAATCATTTAATGAGTAGCATCGTTTTTATTATAAACAAACAATATTCATGAATGTCTTCTTGATATTATGAATTAGATTATTTTTGTCAGCTTTCATCAGTGAACTTAGTGTCTTTCGCTGAACTCTTTGTTATTTTTTTTTGCGCCTTAATACATGGTTTACATACCTAATTGTGAATATAAATATTGATTGAAGTGGGAGATGTTTATACAAATCAAGCAATGTAGTGTTCATTTGTATGTCGTTTTAAAACTGGGGATACCACCTGACTACACGAATCCCCAATAGGTGAAAGTACCACCTTTTAACCATGGAATTTAAGCTTATCGGAATCAAATTACTGGAATGTTATCATTGTTTGAGACAGCTTACAGTTATTAAAAATTACGAACGATTGATAGATTTTTATTATACGAATTGTGATCTATGCAAACTAGATAGATCAGACGGTTAGTACTCAACAACAACGTCCCAAAGTTATTAATCCACATGCGAATGTGGAAAAAAGATGTAAGTTTCTGGAGAGTTTTTATATTCCCAGTTGAAATAAAAATTATAATAGAACAATTCCGTTTATATAACAACGAATATGACAGTTGCGACTGCGAAAATAGGGAAATAAGTTCGAGAACAACCAATCAGGTATCAGCAAATATCAATGTTAAACTCTCAATCAAAGTTTGTTCGTCAGAACTACAATTTATTAATATTTTTCCACAATACTGGGGTTGAAACTAGAATTTCCGAATTACAAATGAGATTTAAGTAAGCATGAAGCAGAAAAGTCGTTTGTTGATTTATTAACTTCGTATACAGTTCAGTGTTCATATCAGTTTGACAAAAACTGGTGAACTAAGCTTCAGTTTAACTTATCAGTATAGATGTATATATTTCTCACGGAATGATATGAAGTATATTTATGATCGTGATACATTATTTTCTTCTTTCTTACTGCTTTCCTGGTCGATAATAAAATTCTGGATGTGATTATGTGTTCCACATCCTAAATAAATGTGAAAATACCGATTTTCAATAAAATCAGCTCAACTCTTAAACATTTAGATTCCATTCCTTCATCTAATTCAAATGGTACATCTGAGCATAGCCATCATCATTATCGTCGTCGTCATCACTATCGCGATAATGAAAAATTCTATCTTAATTCAAAGAGCTGTTATAGTAATTTAGGTAAGTTGATATATCTGTGCTTTCCGTTTATATGCAATTAATTATGTTATATTTAATTGTCATAATTATCGTTGGTTGACCACTAATTAATTAGTTACCGATATCATGTTTATCTAATCCTAATTGAATTCCAACGACCAAGCAGCAATATTTCAATTTAAGTGACTGAACATTGAGTTCACTGTGTTGAATCATTTACCATGACGCGCAGTACTGACTGGTGTTGGAGACAGATGGAAGAAAGTTAGGGGTGGCCAAACCAAAACGTGGCATCAATCCCTAAAGTCACTAACCTGTGATCTGAGCCATGTTGGTAGATGCAAACTACTTGGTCGGGGTCCACGCGACTATGGTAACCAATGGTTGTAGACTCTGGGTAACATGGCTCAGAATCGATCACAATGGTGTCGGTGTATACACTATTTAAGGTAAGAACAAACTGTTTTTGAACACATAAAGGGGGTTTGAATTTTCGTATGGCTAAGGCTTCAATGAACCTTAGTATACGCCCTTTTACACTTTTATACAGCACTACAAAAGCTGAATTTAGATCAATCTTGTGACCTGTTTCAATTATATGTTTAGCAATAGAGGATGATGGATGTTTATCCTCTGCTCTTATCGGGTCACTTGATTGTATTTGTTTCTGAAGCCATTTGGGTACATGTTCACTCACCCTAATGTTGAGATCACGATTACTCCTCCCTATGTATGTGTGACCACACACACATTTAAATTGGTAAACACAGTGGGATGTGACGCAATCGTTTCCATGTACTTTAGGTTTTGAATGAAGCATGCACCTTGTTCTTTCTTTGATGATGACCTTTGCTGCGCAATAGGTTTTATTGATGACTGATACAAGTCGTTGTTTCAGTAAAAGGCTATTTGAATCACCTCTGAATGGTAAGGTGATGTAAACAGGCTTTTTCTCTACCGAGGCTATAGTAGGTCTCGCTGAACCATGGACTTTCCATCTATTTATGAATTTCAGAGGATAGCCATTTTCTATTAACGTTTTATTTAACAACTTAACATCATCATCAATGGCGTCATTGGTACAAATACGGTCGAGTCTGTTGAAAAGACACCTTATCAAACCACGTTTGTATTGCACAGGGCAATAACTATAATAACTTAGATATTGACCTGTCCATGTTGGTTTTCTAAAAATAGATCGCTTTACTGAACCATCTTCTCGTCTACTCAGGAGTATATCTAGGAAGGGAAGCTGATCGTTTTTCTCCTCTTCACATGAGAGACTAATATGGTTTTGGAGAGTGTTGAGTTTATTTAATAAACCGTGCATATCCTCTTTTTTCTCACAAACAACTAAGATATCGTCCACATATCTCTTATAAAGTGACATGTTTTACATCACCTTACCATTCAGAGGTGATTCAAATAGCCTTTTACTGAAACAACGACTTAAATCAGTCATCAATAAAACCTATTGCGCAGCAAAGGTCATCATCAAAGAAAGAACAAGGTGCATGCTTCATTCAAAACCTAAAGTACATGGAAACGATTGCGTCACATCCCACTGTGTTTACCAATTTAAATGTGTGTGTGGTCACACATACATAGGGAGGAGTAATCGTGATCTCAACATTAGGGTGAGTGAACATGTACCCAAATGGCTTCAGAAACAAATACAATCAAGTGACCCGATAAGAGCAGAGGATAAACATCCATCATCCTCTATTGCTAAACATATAATTGAAACAGGTCACAAGATTGATCTAAATTCAGCTTTTGTATACACTATTTGTCATCCGTTAAACGATGAGATTAAAATTGCCTTACCTTTCTTTCTACGAACTAATTCTTTCTCCCTGTATCATATTGCTATATTTAATCTTTATCTATATACATCACTAACAATGAAGTGCCTACTTCTATGAATTTGGTGTTGATCTTGTTGTGTTAATGGGGTGTGGCAACGTGAACCGATGCATATATGTGTCTGGTCCTATGTTGTAGCTGACTGATCATTGATAAAATTGTGTCATTACTGGATGGACATGATGTCAGTTACTGCTCGGTGATCAACCATTTTAATTATTTCAGTCTTACATGGGATTAATCGTGACCTGAATACTGTAATAGTTATTCGTCAGACTGTGATACTGATCGGTGTGAGTAAGCAAACCACGAGAAGCTCCATAGGTTTGCCTTACTAAAAACGCTCTATTAACACAAAACAGAGTTCCAGAGTTTCCTGCTGGCTGGTTTTAATCACCGTTTTTACTCCATATGCAGAGATAAATTATTATATATTTTAAATTTTATATCATGAGAAGTAAGGCCTTACTGGTTTTGTGACTTTCATTCTGATGGTTTCTTAACTATTTATTATTCTATATATACGCGTTTGTAAAGAGTCTTCAAGTTAAATAAATAAAATGTCTAATGTGTATTGACCTTTGAATGTGTTTTATTCAAACTCATTCCTCATTTCAACATGTCTGTTACAGCTTAGTTCTAAAAGCTATTTACTAAAGTTCTGAAAACTTCATTTTATAGAATTTGGACTATACTGATCTTATGTTGTCGATAGTACTCCCATTTCCGTTTCCATTATTCTAAGCATCTGTGAAAGTCATTAAAAGACAAGTTGCTCATCTGCATTGTCACTCCGCGTTTCATTATTTTCATGTGGCAGCCCGATGGCATCATCCTTAAGTAACTATTATACATTTGAAGAATGATAAATATTAGGGGCTAATATTGATGAATATTGCATGCTTTGTAGCGCGACAATGGAACTACAATCGAAAATTACGTGATATCTCATTCGTTCTATGTTCTTATTCACCCCGAAGCTCGGTAACAGTTTTGCATCACCCGTCATTGAAGATAGAATGGTGTATATCTAATCTCTCAGAGTGAATATTACTGAAATTATAAAATAACTATGCCATAAAGCATACCCATATTACTGCTCATGCACTGTGAAATATATCCTATTCACAAGAACGTAACAACATTTCAGGAATAAAGCTTTGCTGTTATGATAACTCTGCAAAATGAATGCGGAAGAAAATAACTCGGTAAGATGAAATCAACAAAGTTAACGCCTAATTAATCAAAATCATGTAGTAGCAGCAATGATATAGAAGAATAAACATTGAAAACGTAATTCGAAAAGATAAAGTGGGAATGTTTGTATGAATATATACTGGGCTTCAACATCTACAGCAAAATAAAAAGTACCTGCATCCGTCCCATTGTAGTCGATTCCAAATCATGCTACCCAGCCGACGATCTCAGTTATCATCTTGACACAAATTAGATAGTCTACCAACATGATTCACAGCCTCAGTCAGAGGTTAGTGATATTGTACCTGGCTACCAATCGTATGTAAATAAATATTTTGTTTTTCAACTGTAAATAAAACTGTCATTTATGGGTAAATACTAATGATATGATTTATGTAATTATCATTGTATTGTTTGTCTTCCTCTCCATGTCTTTACACTTTCAGATCAAGATTCAAAAAAACGATTATCGAATTACTCATCGTCATCAACAGAAATATTATGTAATTATCAACATAATTTATGTAAATACCGATCGAATGATAACATTGTTATTGATGATAATCATGACAGTGATGATGATATGGATCGTGATAAGTCATCGATGATATGTTATCAATACTTAACAGATGATTCCGATTTGAATTATGATGCTACTCCTCCTCTGTCGGATCCTGAAACTGAACGTTATAGTTATAAATTAGATTTACTCAGTGAATTAAGTCTTTCTTCAGTCTCTGGCGCTGCTGGTGACCAAATATTAAATATGAATATTCAGAAAAATCCAATAACCAATAAATCCACTTTACATAAATGTTACTATACACATGGTAAATATTTAATTGATAAGAAATGTAAATATCGTGTTGTATATCGTCAACCGAGAATAGACTTTAGTCAAATGGTACTTGTACCATTTGATCCAGCCTCATGGAATGGTCCAGTGTTAAAACCGAGAACAGCGTTGAACTCAGAAGAACTACAACTTATTGTCGATATGCCGAATTCATTTTCTTCTTTACAAAATAATAATAATCATGTTGAACAACAACCTGATAAAAATATAGAAAGAAGAGGGCATGATTCCGTTGTTGATGTTGATAGTATGTGTAATAAACAAAATGGTGAGTGGGATAATTTTTTTCTTTTCCTAAATTACTGCTAAGGAGAGATCAGGTCATGTAGTTCTTTGCTAATAAATCATGGTTTCATCTGGTAAGAATACAACTGCTTTATATCTTTATGCTTCGCATTTCCTCAGTGACCTTTGCTGTTATATCCCCTTTAGTCTGGTGGTTTTATTGTCTCAAAGTAATTGCATATTACTATAGATATACGCGGAGTTGTTCTTTTTAAATTTTGACCATCCTGACTTCGTTGAATAACAATCTTTTTTGCACTCCTATCTTCCTGGGTTTTATCGTTTGAGAGTAATTGATAAAGTGTTGTATATGACAATGGCCGTTCTACAGACTTCGCGTCAGTTCATGTTTGTATTAAAAGAATCTCAGTCGTGAACGTAACAATTAAGCAGACTGAAAAAAAGTAAAACCGTTGGTGTCTGTCTCTTTTTTTCAATCATTTTAATTAATGCTGCTTTGAATTTCGATTAATTCAACTTATTTAAATTCCATTTTAAACTACACTTGCTTAGTAGAAATGATGGGAAATCGTCTACTTATCATTTTACTCGATCAAATAGCATTCATTTCCATTGCTCTCTTTCAACAGCTATGATTTCTACCATAGACTGATCAATGCCTATCAGGTTTATTCACACTATCAATTTTAGTTATCACAAACTGTCTTTTTCCAATAGTTTGATTCCTCTTCTGAAATTAGGGATAATGAGATGTGAAAAATAACTATCCCAGATGTTATTTATTTTCAGGTCACTGATTAATTGGGTTGTAGCTTTATACAGATGAGTTTTGTCGATCGAGTTATATTATTGTCATCATGGCATTCTGATATTAGGTGATTGTGTAGTGAACAAACACTCAGTCAGGGACAACCAATTTATTGTTTATGCAAAACATACAGTGGCTTAGTAAAATATGAAAATCATCCATTAAATACATTTGCATATCTTCTTGGCATTGTACTTTACCTACTCCATTATTTTTCTATGTTGTTATTTCGATTGCTCTCTGATTTCGTTTCTGTTTTCTTCAATTCAATTTTCTGCTGCTAGGCTTTCCACTTCCTATTTCCGCTATATACTACTTATAATTGTCAGCATAAACCACAGTAGTCTCAATTTATGAAGTTTTGCTACTCATCAGTAACAAACATCAAAATATTTTAAATTTGCCATAGATAATATCTCCCACATTCAATTTCCAGTAGCAAATGGTGATAGATATGAATAGGTTGTCAAACAATCGTGATAAATCGAACCAAAGATTTGCTTCATGATGCTCTTATACAGCTCCATAAGATTTCTTTTTGTATAGACCATTTTCTTAGTTCAATTATCATTCATAATCTCCTGAGTCTTAAAAAAACAAATTGCGTATCGCTCTGAAATATTGTATCGATCCATACTTTACTGACTGACTTTTCTTTCTGTAAACCAATCACCTGTATACAGTATGCTGATTGAATGCCCTTTTGACATCGAATTAAGAAAAACAATAAACAAACTCTATTTGCAGCCAAACTTTTCTTACCTACTGGCAAGTTTCGTTTATAAATCTTGATGATTATTAATGAACTGTGAAAGATTTTGTCCTTCACCAGTCATCCTTACAGTAATAAACCTTATCAGTAAGTTGCTTTTTCATCCGTATTTTTTATTATCGAGTTTCAAGCTACATAATCAAAGTATCAGCTAACAGAAAGATACACAGTTCCTTGTATTGACTTGAAATGAAATACGATATAGATTCACCTTTCTTCTCTATCAACAGTTACAGTTATTATTTTGTTGAAGCCTTTCGGGACTGGATCTCATCAAATCTATTTGGGAATTTATTAGAATAAGTCTATCTACAAGCTGAGATGGATGGATAATGGCTAGCAGTAAAATCCAGGATGGGCGTCCCGTCCTAGTTTGGACTCGTCAGCTGCATGTACCTGCATCCCAGAGTTTATGTTCACTCTGGGACTCTAATCAATTATCCACTTAGTTGCTTTGTCTAGATAACCACTGGCTTGTACAGTAGGGTAAAGTTTAATTAATTTGTATTAGTTACTTGAATCTTCCCATTGATGTTTAGGACCGCAATTGATCATTTTCTTTTGGCATATGTACATTTTGTGCGAATTCAGTGGGAATATTGAGGCATTCCTCACATGATACACATATGCAATAAAGAGATTGACCAATTGCAATCCTAAGCGCCAATAGGAAAATTCAAACAATCAATACAAAATGAGTTTATCCATCAGCTTGTTTTTTTTTCTTTTATAATTTCATTGAACTTCTTTCAACTTTACTCCGATTTTATCCATCGTTATAATTCTCTAAATTTTTCGTCATTGTTAATTTAGTCATCAATCTTATTATTTTCTGGTATAACAGAAGTCCCAGTACAAATATCAAACCAGTTAAATATTCCTCAGAAATAGCATTTTTATTTAGATATGATTACATAATTGTAACACAGAAACTCCCTCACTTGACTCTTCACATATTTTCTTTTCCAGCTGTGGAAATAAAATGCACTGCATTTAATTTCAGCGATATATGTTTTTTCATAAATCAATTCAATAGTACAATACATAAATTCATCTGTATACTACAGAATTGTTTACAGAATATGTTCAAATGTGTTCACCTTGTATTCATCCTAAACATTTATGGGATTATTTTATTATAGATTGAGTTCATCACTAATATCGTTTTTTTTCCTAGAAAAAATATTGTGACAACCTAGTTTCATACTCTGTTGGTTTAGTGCATTCAGTTTCTTGTATAAATTTGAATCAAAATAACAACAAGAAAGTTCTAAAAAAATGTAATGACTGTGTGTTTTGCTTTCAACGCCTTCCCCTTAACCTGAAAATTTCAAACAGTTCATGTTTTATCTTATATATATACGAGTATGGAGTTATTTTGTGTAAAACATTTGAATCGGTACCAAACTGCTCTCTGTTACCTCTCAATTTTCATTCTTTCTCTATATGATATTAATCCGTGATGAATACTGCCTTTAAATTACATAAAGCGTCTAACAATCAGTCATAATCAATTTAGATTCACCCATTATGTACTTTCTTAGTCCTTGATTAACCCAACTGTTCAAAATGAAAATAGAAATTGTCTGTTAAGATATGTTTTTTTCAAGCCTGCTAAGATATCCACAATTTATGTATATTCGTAGGCAGCTAGACTGACTTAAATAAGAATGTATAAGCAGTGCCCGAGGCTAGTTAAATAAGATTGCCTAGATTAGTTGTTCCTCTGGTTGTTAGAAGGGGAATCGGCCCCCAGATGCCCTGGTACGACCGAGAGTGAGGAGAGTCCGCTCTCCCTCTCGAAATGCTCTCATATGGCCACGCGTATATAGCCTCTGCCAGGGAAGTCCTACTCACTGCCTTCTCGTGGCGAGGGTGTTGTTTACGAAAATGAGAGGACGAAAAGCGAATGTCCGGCGCTTTAACTGGGTCCCAAACCAATGGTGCACATGGGCTCCATTATCCTGCGGGAACAAATGGCGTATGAACCAGTCGTTGATCACCGGCTTCCATGGGACTGCATCTCCTCCCGATGCTCCACTGCATTGTGGATCAGACCTTCAGGTCAAAGGCTCGGGGAGTGGCCCCCTAAGAAAACCATCTGCTTCGGTTTGGGCACCCGGGCAGTATCACAGCCATCACACATATCGAATGAGATTTGTGTGGCGCATATGTATTTGGTGCCTCCTTGTACCAATATCTATGTGTTAAAATAAATAAATAATAATCGGCCTCGTGTCTTCCGAAGGATCTCGGTTTTCATCATGAGGCGTCATAGTTCTCCCTTCAACTTCCAGGGCAGAGTTTGAGTGTTTTGATTTGCTTATTCTGCTTAGCGTCTTTTTGGCAAGATTGTTTTCTACGGGATGGGGATGCCGACCCCACGCCCAGCCCTCCTCTTTTACTTGGTACTGGCAGTAGCCCTAGAAAAGCTTATAGGCGGAGGCTAGTTGCTTGTCTTTATCCACGTGATTAAACAGAATCTACTGTAAACAGGAATCGATTTCCTGTTAGTTAATTTACTAATGAATACACTCTTCATTTTGAATAGAATGTAAAGCATACACGAAACTCTGTTCAGTACAAACACTATCAATCGCTGAGAATATTTCAAATATAATTTTCACATATAATGACTTCTCTATACTCGGCGCTCAATTACTGTCAAACTATTCGTTCTAATCTTGACGAATATTCGTATAAACTATCATTCTTGGTTTGTTGAGTTGCATTTTCTTTAAATTTTTTTCATCGCTTTACATTATAGCAAAATGTATCGATAATGAAACTGTTCGTGTGAGAAAAACACATCCAAAAACTGTAATCAGTAAATTATTCAGGTTAGTATTATTGTCTTGATTTAATAAAACTATTATCTACAATTTGATGTCCGCCTATAGTATATACATACGCTAAATAATGAAGTGATCTTTTACAATTGTTATTGAGTTTACTGTTCGGTTATGTTTAGTCCATTGAAAACTTTGATTTGTTGTTTTCACCAAACTTTATGGTTATGAATAATGAATTTAATTCTCCTAAAGAAAATCACTTTAAAGTTTATTTACCTAACTCACTTATAAGTAGTATGTGAAACTGTATGCATCCGTATAAGTGGCCACAACACTCAACTTTTATTCATCATTTCGTATATCTGAACGCCACTACACTTATTTTGGTACTTTTAGCAATTTCCAGGCTTCCAAAGGCTTTTGAGGAATTATCAAGGGCTTTATATGATAGACTGACTTAGGCTAGATACCCACTAAAAATCTAAGTCAGTCCGTGATGGGAACCTTCAAGTTCAGTAATGTTCACAACACCCTATAATTGCGAATTATAACTTTTTTGGAGAGAGGTAGAAATTATTTTGAGTATTTCCATAGGTACTCAAGATTGTTTGTCACTGACTGAGGTATCAGCCAGAAACTTACTAGAATTCACTGGGTACTAATCATCTTTCTTGTTCTAATTTAGAACTTTCCATACCAATGCACTTTTACGGCTGCATACACAAACACGTCAACTCATCATAAGAATTCCCTTCCAAATCTTCAACAGAACTTAGAATTATCAACATAAATCTTTTGCGATGATGGATAATAGTTTTAGCTGAGGTATAGGACTTTAAAAGTGTTGTGATCTCTGAGATCAGAGAGATTTTTGTTTTCTGGTAAAATCATCTACTCGGCTGCATGCATTTTCGAAATTTAATTGATATGCTTTTTCAAAATGAAAGCCAAAAAATTGCTAGCATTTCAAACAAAACAAACATTTCCTATCGTATAATTTTCAAGCTATGCATTGTGGAGACGCGCTGCAGTAATCTCGCTGCCCAAAAATTTAAAGGGACTCGTCAACTATCCATCTTGCTTAGAATGGGTGCCCCAACAACTTCACGAGAACATTTTTTACAAATAAACTCACTGTCAAAAACCAACTTCATAAGCCAAGAAGTAGATCATCCTACCATGTATGGGAAAATATCTCAAGAGTCATTACAATGATTCTGAAATACTTTTCGTTCAACGTCTCTCACAAATCAACACAATCATTTCTTTTCATTAGATACAGATCACGAAAAGGTAAATCTGATGTCATCTATCAAGTAAATTGCACCAATTGCCAGAAGTAATACATTGGACGAAGTGGAGGTTCCTTTGACCTATTCACACATGAACATAGATTAGCACTGAGGTTATATAATATGTTTCACTAATAACATTGCATTCTAGTAACCATGGGCATGAATTCGACTGGTTAGACGTCGCAATTTCGGGCCAAGGAAACTCCAAGAATGCCAAAACAGTTCCTAGAATTATGGTATCAAAATCGATTGGCAACCAACAAGTATATCAACGTAAACCTAATATATGAATCTATACAAAAGAGACCAATCAATGACAAGGTCAGAGGTCATCCGAGAAAGATAGTCAATGTCAGTCCAAGGAAGAATGAACGAAATCTACAAAGAGAGCCAATCACAAGCAACATCATTGAAGCGGATTGATATGGAACATATGAAATAACCGAAATCTAACTTCTATATAAAGTAAACCCCGAAAACCTCTAGAATGACAATCAATCTCTATAATTAAGCCACCTAACTTAGAGAACATAATATTAAAAGAGAGTGAAACTATCCCAACAGATACACCAGGCGAGAATTGCGTTACATCACTTACACTGAGATGAACCCATTCAATTTCAGTCTCCATGACTTGATATTATTTCGCTTACAGTGAATGTAACTTGAAAATAGTTAGTTTGATCTTACTGGATTCTGTAAATGAACATTATTTTAGGAGTGTTAAACTGTCAGAAATTAATTATGTTCATTGGCTTTTCAATTTTGAATAATTCTCCAACTCACAATTGATTGATCACTGGGTGGTGATCAATGTCATGCTTGTCTAGTCCTTATTAGTGCAGATCGAATGCTATCGATCATGTTGCAATGTGGCCAACAGTCTAGGTGACTCGACACTGCGGGCACTATGTATTGAGATTTAGATGGTGGTTGGAGGTAGTCAACAGGAAACCCTGTTGACTACCTCCAACCACCATCCAAATTCTCCAACTTGATTTCAAGTCACAATGTCAATTACTGTCAACCTATACAAAATCTTTACAAAACTAATTTGAACAAGAAAACATTCTTTTATTGCTTTTTTTTCTTTTCTTCAATTTTCTTATTTTAGTCTAGTTAAAACAACTACTCATCGACGTACTATTGGTGATCAGAATACAATATCAGATTTCGAAAATAATACAGAATCTCAATTACCTACAGATGATAACGTTCAAACAATTTTATCTAGTGCAAATGTTAATGATATTGAAAAAAGAAATAATTGTTTAATCAATTTGCAAAATAATACAAATACACTTTCAGCCATGCAAAATAATTTATATGTAGAAAGTTCAGCAAAGAATTTGCTTAAACCTCAATCGGATCAGTCAATCGACTTACAACTTTGTGCAAACAACAAAATTACTAATCCTATCGAAAAATCATCACGTTCATCTTGTTATGCAACACTTCATGAAAGGTAGTTGGTTTTCTTTTTTTTTAACATCATATCTTAAATGATTATTATTATTATTTAAAACAATTAGTCCCTTAGATAAACTTCGATAGTGCAATGAGAAGACGTAGTTTATCAGAATTATGTGATATACGTTTCGAACACTCGATCACACATATACTTGTTAAGAACATTTATATTTGAAAATTAAAAGGTCAACTAGACAGGTTAAGGGTAAATCATAACAAAGGAAAAATATTAAAGTACACAAAAAACAAATGTGATTACCACTCTGGATTATAAATAGTATTACCAGGGTTTGTTAAGTGTAAGGACAAGTTACTTTTGAACACATAAAAGGGGTTTCAATTTCCGTATAGCCAAGGCTTCAATAAACCTTAGTACACGTCCTTGAAGACTTTTGTACAACACAACAAATACTGATTTGATACCAACCTTCTGACCCGTCTCAATCAAATGTTATTATTATATTTTAATTCTATCATTTATAAGTGAATAAATAATAACAAGACGATTGACGGTTATAATTTATATCAAACTGCTAGATAATTTGAAATGAAATCCAAAACAGAATAAGGTGTTTAATTAGTTTTTTTAAAAGTCATTCGAAACCCTCAATCAACATTGATCAACAATATAAGCAGAGATGGGTGGTAACTAGTAGTGGAATCCAGGACGCGCTATTCATCCTGTTTGATACTCGTTATGTGAATCTAATTATATCTCAGAGTTAATGTTCACTCGATCAAAACGAACGGTACTGGGTCCGAGTCTCAGATAGGACGAAACGCCCTTCCTGGATTCCAATGCAAGACAATCTTTATTTTAGATTGTAATGATTTGTGTGATAATTGTAATGCTACCCATGTGTCGGTTTTCCTAAAATAATGATAAATTATATTCGATGTAGATTCATACTGTAGAATGCAGGATGCATATTTCGCTTCATTTGGAACTGATCTCCTAGGTGTGCACCTATATTTCAGTGTTATTATTTTCATGTTGGAACTCGAAACCAATGTCCATCACTTCAAACCCTAAACACATTATCCACTAAGCTACAGAGTTAAGATAATGAGTAATTTGTCCAATGGATCTGAAGTTATTAGTAATAGTTTGTAATTCCCCGTTATCTGTGTATCCTTAGCAAAACACACTGATATAGCTTTTCAGTTACACGGTATATATATAAATATATTTAAAATATTCACTTTTAGACTTGAACCTCCAATCCATATCTATGATACTGCACATAATATTCAAATAAATAACACTAATGATCACAAATCTGATTTATCGAATCCAAGTAATGAACAAGTAACATTACTAGATGCGAAATATCCCTCTTCTTTTGCACCTCAGTCTAATATCATTCAAACAACTACAGAAAATGTGGTTGTAAATCAACCTGAAGATACCAGTTTAACACAATTACAAACAACAAAGTATGCTGATTTATCGTTTTTACCAAATTCATCTTTAAATAGTCCGTTATCATGTATGCCATTATTATTGACAGATACCACAAGTCAGTCACTCCACAAGCCCCTTCTGATAATTAAAGAGTTAACAAGTCAACAACAGCAACAGTCACAACATCGTTCCATCTCTTCTAACCAACATCATCTCACTAGTTTATCTAAAAGTGCTGTGAACCGTCTGTATGATATTGAAATCAGCTCATGTTCAACTGCTTATGAATCAGTTATGGAGGTAAGATTGATTTATCTCTAATTTAATATCCATAAAGTATATTCAGTATTCCGTCACAACATTTTATTCATTGTATGAATATGTTATTTTGGTAGATGTTTACGATGGAATTCAAGATGCGCTAAAATTTATTCCATTTGGATTTTTTTTAGCTGATATTTAGATCGAAACTTGAACCTGATACCCAATGCTTTAAAAATTGTGGCTTATCGTACTACAATTTTTAATTTAACTGTTGCAACTCACTTTATAGGTTTGTGTACTCAATGTTAAATCATTCCTTTTATTTGTAGAATAATGATACTATCCGGCCAACTGAGATAGAAATGGGTAATGTGTCTGGAATTTACACGGTGCTGACTAAATCTTAAATCATTTAACCACCAACTCGTCTATTTTGTTTTATCTGAAACTTTTTTAAACTGTTTACTTGAATAACAAAAGTGGAAGTTGATTTGAATTTGAATAGTAATTCCTGTTTTTACTCAATAGTTGAGAATATCTGGTTTAAAACAAGTAATATGTTGATAAAAATAGTGTTGAATATCTGTTTATTTGTCATTGTTGGGGAGATCCAGTAATGTACTAGTCTAATTTCAATCAATTCATAATATTGCGCGACCATCTTCCAGTGTCTTCAAAGGATACCTTATTTACACCCGACACAGTTTAGCTCTACTGGTCACATTTAATCTGTTCAAATCTCACATCCTTAACATACAATTTAACTCGAATCCTAGACATTATAAATATCATATTTTTGACAGCCACCCAGATGTACACAAATACACATATATTATTTCACCTTTGACCTGATTGGTATGACAACACAATCAGATTTATACCAGAAGAGTTTTTTTGTGGATATTATAGTAATTTCAGTGGTTGAGATCATGAGTCAATTGAAGCTAGACCACCATAGAAAACCTGGAAGCACTGGACGACTGTTTCGTCCTATTGTGACCAGTGAAGTTCAACCGGGTCTGTTGTGAGGTAGTAACTCACTGAAGACAATGGTGGATGTGTCGCTCAATTTCGTAGATTAGTTGAAGTTGGACATTAACACCGTTGGATGCGGACCAGCTCAGTGGTCAAGTGGTTAAGCGTTCGCGCGCAAGACCGATATGTCCTGTGTTCGAATTTCGCGAGGCGGACTCGTGGATGTGCACTGCTGAAGAGTTCAACAATAGGACGAAACGGCCGTTCAGTACTCCCAGGTTTCCCATGGTGGTCTAGCTTCAATCGACTCATAATCTCAACAATCAGATTTGTTTTGATTGTACTAAATATTTTTCAATGTTTCTCTGTACTAATTTTATTTGGTTATTTATTTAAAGAAGCAATTTATACAAAACGTCAAAAATTCAATTTTCTACTAATTGAGATGTTAAAATAAATCATTATTTTATTAGTGCGAACACCCGATGCTCTATGTATTTGACATTATTTATTCAAAGACTATGACTATGAATTTCTGTGGACTGTCTATAAACACGGCACTCTAAAAATATTTACACTTCACTCTTGGTCTAGTAATAAATAATCATATTGGCTCCTTGGTTCAGTAGAATTTTAATCAGGACGTACAACATATAAACTATTTTGCTCATCGATTTGTGTCAAGTGATCATATCAAAAAGTTGAACTCAGTGTTGTTTATTTTCAAATATTTTCATTTTAGTATACACCAACTTGTGATGATGTTACTTCCAAACAGAAAACAACCAGGTCAGTAGTTATATTTATATATACTTCCTGTTTTTGTTATGTGTAGCCATTTTTATACATTTGTTATTCATAATCTTAGATTATAATATAGATTGACAGAGAAGATGAAAGTCATGAGTGGTGTTCGTGAATTAGTTTCTATTAAATCATGAGATTCAAGTTGTTAAACTAAGACAAACTTTTGAAGTCCTGCAATTGCAACTCTTGTACTAGTTGTCATCTGTCAGTATGGCTTATATTTTATCGTAAGGGAAGATTGATGCTGCACATGAAATTCAAACTGCCCATCACCCAATCACTTAAGTTGCCAGTGAGTGATGTAAACAGTGACTGATATACTTACAGTGGTTGATCACTGTGTTTTAACCTATGCGGCATATGTCTAATTCTTGAAGCTGATTAAATTCCATTTATCAAGTGTCAATATGATCAGTAGTCTAAATAACTGGACTTGCTTAAATACTAGGTTTTTGGAAGCAATTTGAAGGAAGCTCTCGCCTTCATATTAGTTGATATTCGTCATCAAAACACATATCCGAAACCTCGATGGTGATTGATGCATGTTTATCGGAAAGATAACAGTTCATTAAAAAAAATTCACAGTATGATGCATTCATTAAAACTAAAATTAATTGTGTTATGTTGTTTGCTAGAAAATATAACTAAATTTGAAGCGCAAACTTTGATTTGTCATCCGAACATTAGTTATTTGTGTAAGCATTGCATAAGAACACTAATTGCAGACTATCCTATAGTCAGAATGTAGAAATGGGTTTAATAGTTCCACTTTCATACTTAACCTTGATTTTAAATTTATATAGTAATCTATGAAATAATTCAATAGGTGATATTTAATGTCGAATACAAGACACCTAATATTATAATTATTCCTAGTTAAATTACGCTAAGAATTTCTGTGAAATATGGCGAAAAATATTTCACAAAGAATGTTGAGATGACTTAAGAAAAGCGCGACGAAGCCTCCGGAAGCTCTAAGGGAACCAAAGCGATCCCATCCAACCAGAACTCGATGGACTTTTCTATAGTATAAATGTGGGATACGGTGTTTGAACAATTGTAAAATTTTCTACTTGAGGATTGGCTGGATTATAGTAATCCTATAACCTATACTAAAAACTATAATCCTATTTTTCTGTACATTATTCACACTTACTCAACCGCTTTTCCTGTTTTTTTCTGTCTTTTGAGTTTCGATGCGTCCGAGTGCTGATAGCCATCTACTATAATAACCGTAGTCAAGTAGCAGACATAATAAAGAATAATTTACACACTCGTTACAAATGAACTCACATATACTTGCTAACTTAACCGCTATGTATTTCACAACTATTAAATAACAGATCATTTAGAATACTTTTGAAATAATTGATTTTTCTGGTGTCTTCAAAATATAGACAATATTTCTATATTCTAAACTCATGAATAAAATTTTTTGGAACCATATCTATGGTCCGTACACTGAGAATTTTCCACTACTGGTGTGTTTAATCAGTAGGGATATTAAATGAACAAAGATTTGTTTAAAATACGATCAATTATCACTTCGTAAAAAAAAATAAACCAAATTCACATGGAGTAATTTCATGATCAAGTAAATTTCGACTATTTGATCTAATTACAATGAAATATGTTTTCATTTTTCATTTCTAGAGAATTGGTAAATATGAAAGATTTTTAATCATTATAGTTAAAATGACTACGACAGACAAGAAACTTTATTCTACTAAGTATGAATAAATATTTGAAAGTTTTCTTTTTTCTCACTTCCACTATCCACCAGAAGAGATAGTACACAAATATATACATTCCATTTGCAAATTTGTGAATCTTTTAAATTATCTTTAACCCAAGAAAAACCGTGTTTACTCTTTGCGTAACCTGAATGCATATATCTAAATAGTTTATATCAGTTCGACCTTTCGTATTAAGTTAATTAAGTTGAAGGGTTTATATGGAAATTGGTTTAGCTTGTAGGTTTTATTCGTCACATTGACTGGAGTTGAGATTGTAACACTGAATGCCGTCACAGTAACTCCAATGTTTAGGTCTTTGCTACAATACCTGAACACCCTAAGTTCGACCCCCGGAGGCCTGACCCCAGAGATCCTTAAGGATGTTGGTCCAGTTTTTAGCGGTTAAGTTGACCGAGATATTAGCTAAAGTCTGGAAACCGAATATAATCCCATCTGACTGGTATCGATCGCTGATCGTCCAAGTCTATAAGAAGGGAGGAAATCCCTCCTGTGATAGCCTCAGAGAATATTCAATCTTCACCAAGTTTTAGAACATTCGCATACCCACGTTCGACCACGATGGTATTTTAACGGCAGATCCGGCACGGCCGAGGGTAGGGAGAGTCAGCTCTCCCTCTCTAAATGCTCTCACATGGCCATGAGTATATAGCCACTGTCAGCGAAGCCCTACTCACTGCCTTCTTGCGGCAGGGGTGTTGTTTACGACATTGGGAGGACGAAAAGCGAATGTACGACGCTTTAACAGGGTTGGTGGCTATGGAGAATACACCTAGGGGAGTGGAAAAACTTATTCCAAACCAATGGTGCACATGGGCTCCAATATCCTGAAGGAACAAATGGCGTATAGACCAATTACTGGTCACTGGCTACCATAAAAATGCATCTCCTGACGTTGCTCTACTGCCTTGTGGATCAAACCTTTAGGTCGAAGGCTCCGGGTGTGGTCCTCTAAGAAAACCATCTGCTTCGGTCTGAGCACCCGGGCAGTACCCAGCCCACATACAAATCAAGTGACTTGTGTGGCGCATATGTATTCGGTGCCCCTTTGTACCAATATTTGTGTTCATACAAATAAATAAATAAAAAAAATACATATAGAGGTTCTGTTGTGATTTTTACCACTAAAAAGCGTGCTGGGTGGTTACCAGCCTATCTTATACTTAAAATTTACATTTATCAAACAAATGGCCTATGTATTGCACAATAGGCCACCTTGTATTACTTTATGGTTATGAAGGGAAACGAAAAAAAGGAAGTCCGAAGAAGACACTACGTCAGGAAATGAAAGCAGATATGAAAAGGATGAATAGCGACTGAAAAGTATTGCCCAGGACAAAGTTGGATGAAGAGTGCTGTTAGGCGGCCTGTGCTGGTTAGGGAGCGGTAACAGTCGTTTGAAAATAGAAGACACGTGTAGGCTGAAGGCTTTTGACCACAAATATCTTCGAAGCCTTGATCGCGTTTTATGGTACAACCGAGTGAGTAATATTAAGGCTAGGTACATGGTACCTGACAAATCAATCTGTGAGGTAGTAAGCTTTCATCAACTGAGGTACGTAAGATATTTGTAACATACGGTTAACTATTGCCTGCCTCAACGAGCAATTCTTGGCCATACAGAATCCGGTTGGGAGAAAGTTGTGGGCAGCCAAATAGAAACATGCCACAAGTATTAGCCATGTAACCAAGTCCAGACTACCTCATTGGGGTCCACATGATAACCATAACCACTGGTTAACGAATTTTTGTCGCATAGTTCATTATTGTTCAAAACTGACCAGATGCATTCTCTCTTTATCTTTCTCTCAATATTAAATTCAATTATGTTTTCATGCATACCTTCCCACTCTGTCTTCTTACGCCATGTTCTCAAGGTTCATCACGACTACATTATTTTGATCTTTTTTCCACTTAGTCTTGCTAATCAAGTACGGCAACTTAGGTCAATACACTTCTGTTCTAAGTTCTAGGTTGATAATGTCTGTCTGTTGATTTCCAATGGGAAATTGAAAATATTCATTACTAAGGAGGAATGCTATACAAAGTTGGATGAAGAGTGCTGGTGGGCGGCCTATGCTCCGCAGTGAGCGGTAAGTTTGAAAATAGAAGACATGTGTAGGCTGAAGGCTTTTGACCACAAATATAAAACAACTGTTCAGTGCTCCTCGGTTTTCAATAGTACCCTATTTGAGAACAATTCGTAACAAATGCAGTCTATTATTTTCAACTATTTAATTTAACCTCTATTATTGAATTTCTATTTTTATTCATTTTAGAGAAGTTTACGAAGATGCTGAAGTATTATATCGACATTTATCTGATTTGAAACAATCAAACAATTCTGATATACAAACAACAGTAATAGATTCATCTCATTATCATTAATAATTTTTTTACAATCTTCATATACATACAGTTTGTACACAAATTATTAGTTCTCTGAATCAAAAATATTATCTGTGTATGTGTATTGTCACAAATATAATAAGCCTTATAAAATTCTATATTCAAACATCAATTCCTAATTCTTTCTACATTCAACTATCTATATATTTATTGACATTACTCTCGTTAGCACTGCGATTACTGTTTATTATTATCGTGATAATTAACACATATTCTTAATCATTATTCAAGAGACAAAAATATAAGATTCTGTGATGATGGCGAATACCTAATAAGCATAACGCAATTCAACTTAATGCTTATATGTTAAATGTGATGATAATCGTTTTTATGCATTTGTTTTGTGGAACATAATGGGATTTATACAGAATAGAAATAATAATGCTACAAAAAAAGATTAAGGTAGGCAGGGTTCGGTAATCTATGTGGATTCCTCTTAAGATATTCATGTGTTATATGCATTTCATACATTTTTGTCCCGTTATCCTATTATCATTATTTTCCTTCTATTATTACTAACTTCATCACTAAAAATATCTTAGCATTTATCTTAATTATAATGATAATGACGATCACTATCATTATTAAGAAAGAATATTCTTTCAACTGTTTTCGTTTCTATGCACACCTCCTACAAACGAACCAACTGCCAAGACACGTGACTGTCTACAATGGTCGGGTAGATTTGTTTTCCTTTTTCTCTTTTGATAGTTGTATTTTCACGGCTAAAAGTGCAACTTTGATAATAATAATAATAAAGATTAGAACAATGAATAACCTTGTCTCGTAAAAAGAAACTGACGTATTATTTGTGAAAAATTCTCTACAACATTTTTTTCCAATGTGAATAAGAGGATGATTGATGATAGCGATATGTTATGTTGTATCAGAAAGTGCTGTGATTCTTTTAACTTAAAATTACATTTAACATTATTATCATTTTTCGTATTTTCCGTTGACGTGATCAGAATTACACAAAAGCCAACTGTAAACTATTAATATACCATTATAACTCGCATTTCACTCCCCATTATACTTCATGAAATGTTTGTAATTCTATATCTCTTCGTTTTTTGTTTTGTTTTCAATAAGATGGTAACCTTGCATTTATTTCACAACTGTGTTCTTTTATAATCAGCATTTACTCTGACATATATTTAACAACGATGATCTTATTCATTACATGACTTCGTTTACAGTTTTTTTTGTGTTACTTTACAATTTACAAACCCAAAAACTACTTGAAACTCATAGATTAAAAATAAAGCATTTGATGATTTTTTTTTATTTGTCTACTTACATTTTACTGGTAATGTAGTATCTAAATCAATGTGGAATTTGGATACTGTGTATTTTTGACCTGTATTTCCAAAAGAATTCTTTGACTTACATTCCAATGGTAAGTTAATTGTCAAGGATTTTTATATTGTACTTCCAATTACGCTTGTGATTACGAACGGTCACATTGTTCAAGTGCTTAGGTCTGGTTGACTGTGTTAATCTTTATTTCCTTATATCCACCAAGGTAAGTTTCTTAAAATGTTCTCAATTGGAATGAAATATCGGCTTCTTAAACATAAAAGGGATGTAGCGAAACTAAATTAACTACATGCACAACAAAACAATTTAGCATAATTGTTGCCTCAGTTGTTTGAAATGAAATGTACTCATTATCAAAGAAACACCATATCTCTCAGCACACTTCGACAATTTCTAGCTTCATTGAGATGCCAATTTTCATAAAATATTCTTTCTCTAAACACAGCAGCTTTTCTGAAACGGACTTTAACGAAAAAAGTCAAGTAGAGAGTAGACTGCAGTTTCACATGCGCAGTCCTGAGCCATACATATGTGGACTAGTGTTACTACCTATGAAAGCCAACTAACCATGGCAATTCATTTTGCGGAACAAAGGGAAGCTTGTGGAATAAGTGATTAAGATTTTATAGGTTCATTCACAGACCGACAGTTGTAAACCACGAAGAACTAGTAACAACTCATACAGCTAAATATCGATAAAAAACAATAAAGTTTGTCCAGTTAAGGTAAAAAAAAAGAGAGGTAAACGTATCACAATCGATATGGTTATGGGGAACAAACTGTTGATCGTGAGCAACTGAAACCACTAGGTAAGCCAATTTCAGTTTTTATCATCAGTGAAAAGCGAGTTCATAGTGCCCAAGATTCTTGTTAAAATGGATACTCCGGCAGAGAATTCACTTCTGACCATCTAAAAGATGTCAGCTGAAATAATGAATTGAGGGAAATGAGTATTCCATAATGAAACTACAGGTACACTTGTGTTTACATTCTAAATTGCTTTAAGTTACATTCATGACCCGTTATTAGGAAGAGTAGAAAATTTTTTTAATGGCTTCAACTAAAATTCAGAAATGTCTAGTTAATACACCAGTCATTTTAATAAGAAGATGATGTTTCGCTACACAAACAAGTGTGGATTCATTTGACAAAATCAATCATTTGAAAATATCTATTTTCATTCGATGAATATAATTGTACTCAAGTAATCAACATTTAACCTTGAACTAAACAATTTACAAAAAAAGCTGCTAACTATCATATACATTAAATTATGAATTCTTTCAAAATAGGATTCTACTTTTACCTATGATAAGGGAAAAAAGGCCGACCTATTTATTTCATTCATTTATAAATATCATAATGCACAGTAGAAAATAATAATCGAATAGTGAATAACAAGGTCCCCAACCCATCTATTCCTACTCGAACTATTGTCAAACAAACAAAAAATTTCTTTTTTTCCGTTTTTTAAATACTCTTTAAAAGAAAGAATTTCAACATAATTATAAGTAATATGATCGACGATGACAGTAAAACTTTGAATGACAAAAAAGAAGTTCGCGATATATATATATATATATATAAGAAAAGGGAAAGAAGAACATACGTTAGTTTAGAAAAATAATATCCACAACAGGGTGTTTTTACTTAGATAAGCAAAATAAACAAAGAATCGATCGTGCAGAACAAAAAGAAAAGTGCACCAATTTAAAGTTGGGTGAATAGATAGAACAGTCTCTTGTTTACTTAAATGTGCTTCATTTGTCTGTCTATGGGTAAGCAATACTTAGTATTCGAAAGGGAAAAAATAAGAGAAAATTACACTTTTGTACAAACCAACGAGTAATCAACTTGGAGAACGAACAAAATGAATAAATAAATGTGTATACATAGACAGAAATAATACATTCACATTACTACTGTTTAACATACGCTGTCTAACACATCATCATTCAGAGTTTGCATTATTAGTATTACAAACATTAATGGTAATAGTATTAGTACACGTACACAGAATATCGAGTCAACTGAAATACAAAAAACAACAAAAAGAAATAGAATACTAAGAAGCCAGAGAAACGGAGAACCAAAAGAGGGAAGGGCAAATCAGTAAAAAAAATCTATGGGAAACAAAAAAGATTCAATAAAATTATCTTTGCTGCTAATTCAGTAGAAATATATCTAATTCATTCATTCATTATTCCCAGATCAAGTGTACATATATATGTATACGTATATATATATTACACCGTTCTTTAAGTGTTCGCCATAATCTTCAATCATATCATTATTTTTAAGTATAGCGTAAATGCTAGCTAAAATGACAATTAACTTCAATATACTGACGAAGAATCATCTAAAAACTTATATACTAAACATTAAAACAAGAGATGCGAATAGTAATTATATATACTACTGCTATTGTTTATTACATTTTTTTCGTCAGTAGTGAATCTTTCTCGTTTACATCTATTCCGTCGGAGAAACCAAAGTAGAACACAGACATTTTAAAAACAAAACATATGTAATGAACAGATAAGGATGGGGTCGATGGCGGTTGTGTGCGTGTGCATGTATGTGTGTTTAGTTACCAGCCGTGAAGATTATTAATTAATAGTAATAATATAATACAATAAAATAGGTGGATGAGATCGATTAGGTGTGTTCTGATTTAGTTGTCTTCTTTCAAAAAAAATTTTCTCAGCTCACTGATGTACATGGAAGTGTAGGTGAACCCATTTGTCGAAGTACACGATCAAGCCATTTTAATGGTCCATTTAAATGTACTTCTATCCAACATGGTGTGCTGGTTATTGTTTGTCTTCTAAATTAAATAAAAATGTTTTTTTGTTAACGTAAAAAAAATATTAATCATTGATAAGAAAAAGGTGGGAACCTGATGAGAAATTATTGAAAAGAATATTTTTCATTCATATATTTGTGTTTTAATATAATGGGAATTTTTCAGCCATTAAAAGGTGGGGATATAATTTTTGGATAAACCAATCAGAATTAAAGCATCAACTATTCTATTTTAGACGGGTTTTGTGGATATTATAGTAATTTCAATGGTTAAGATCATGAGTTAGTTGAAGCTAGACCACCATGGAATTCATTTATCCATATGATTAACTGGCATTATAGCTTATGTCAATATTCATGATGAAAAGTTTAACTTTCATTCTTAACCTTAACTTATAATTCCTAGTACTAATTCATAATCCTAATTCAACCTTTGCAATTGGTTGAAGTTTTCTCATGGTTACTTTAGTATAACTGAAAGTTTGTTCATAAATTATAGCTTAGTTGAAAAGAATTCACAATATAAACATGCTGAATGTATATTATTCTACCAAAAAGAAAAAAACTACAAAGTATTTATAAATGTCCTTTTAAAAAATATGACAATATTATATTTATTTATTGGTTTTTTTCCTTTGATGATATTTCAGATTGTTATATCCCGACGATAATAATGAATGGCAACTGTTGGGATCTATTAATGGACTAATATTATACATATATTCTTATTGTATAATTATTAAGTGACTAGATTATGTATATTTATATTCCACTTATTAATAAGCTTTATTTTGACCTATACACTATTATGATACGATTTACTATTCATGAGTTATACCCAATTTATTCATTACAGTTTCCCACAATCATAGCCACTTTTCGGCTTGATCTTGTACAAATCTTATTTTCTACTTTATGATGTGATGTGATCTGCTTGGCTTGTATATAAACCAGGTATGTTTGAAATAAATGATTCATATAGTGGAAGCTGATATCGGCGTTCTGGACTAAACAGGAAGGTCAAGGCAGGAAAAAGGACCATTAAGGACGCTGGGCTACTTATACCGATCGATATTTCATTGGTTTGGTACAGTGCTAGGATTGTATAAGTCGTATTCCGATTGGTGAATAAGTCACGTGATAATTAACAAGGCTAAAAGTCAAAACACAGATCACAATTCATCCCAACAGTGATTGGCCAATAAGAATTCTAAATATTGATAAAAAAACAAAAGACAAAGTAGGAACCTTATGAACGCATCGTTGTTTGAAGAAATAGGGCGTTTTTGGTTTGAGTAACAGTGTAAGTGTCAACACTCAAATGCTGATGTATCTGACTGATGAATCTTGAATAGGAAACAAGGACGCGCGTTACCTCCTACATTTGAGACTCTTCAGCTAGATGGATATTCGTAGGTTACTAGTATTCGATCACAGGTGCCTTCGAAACATTGCTCGTATATCATGGCACAAATCCATGAAGTCACTGACAAGTGGACTGAGTCATGTTGGTAGGTGTAGATTACCTGGTTGGAGACCGCAAGATGATAACAACCGATGGTTAGAGACCTTGAATGACATGGCTCAAAATTGTTTGCGATGGTGCAGGTGCATCCACTCTTTGTATTCTCCTAAATTCTAATCTTCTGAATTATTCATGTCCCTTTTTTCTCCTTCCAAATCTATTTCACTGGATTATACGCTTTGAATAATATCTTCAAACCCTAACCTTTCCGATTACTGCTTATGCTTTTGCTACCTCTAACACCATGAGATTTGAATCGAGAATTATATCTCTGTGCTAATGTGGTATGGCAACTTGAACTGACGTACGTACGTACAAGTCCTACGTTGCTGCTGACTGACCCCAGTTACATGTATACCTGTACCAAAGTGTAGATAGATTCACCTATATCTTGGCCCAGTAACTTTTACTTGGAGTCATCATTACACTAGCTCAATTGAGTAGTCCACAATAAAACCATTTATTCATAAATAGTAATAATAAATTATAAATGTAGCAAAACACCAGATATTACTTCAAACTAAATTAGCTCACCTATATTCTGCTCCCCAACCTTTTACAAAACTGACACGTATTGAACACATATGAGTTAGTGAAAAGACAGATTCATAACTACGTGACATATTATCAGCTAATTGACTAGCAAATGCTGCACTATCAAAAAGTTTTAAATTACACTCTGAAAAGAAAAAGAAAAAACGTATATCGTTATAATGGGACGAGTATTTTAGAAGTTCGAAGTGGTTTTTTCGAATAATTATAATTTTGTTATATAGTTACTGAATATCTAGATTATCATGTATATGTATTACCTTTAGGTTAAGCTTTCGGCTAACCCATCAACTACTGTCATACGACTTACTATTCCAAATATATTGCCAGTCTATTACCTACAACGCCCCTATTCACAGCCACTTATAACTTGTTTTCCACTTTATGGTATGATATAGTCTAGTATGTCCGTATATAAACGACGTCTGTTTGAAATATGAATACGAAATTTATATATTAGCTTATGACTTACACTTATGATAATAAAGAAACATAACGCTTTGTAACTAGGCTAGTGCGAATCAAAATCAAAAGAAAAAACTGGATTGTGTTTAATGTGAAATGTCTAATTATTCTTCATGTTTCCAGAATTACTCTGAAGTCAAGCTGTGGTTCAGTGGTTGGGGTGTTCAACATTCAACAACTAAGTTGTAAGTTTAAACCCCACTCGAGCTACCTCAGTTTAAGCATCCGAGTAGTATCGCTACCTCTAGAACTTGGAATGTGACTCCGAGCTAAGTACAAAAATCTGTATCCGATAAACGACTAATGAAAATAATTATCAATATATACTCCACTGGGAGTAACAGGTGTAAGCAATATATATATGGAGAGAGAGCTATGATGAAAACACGACATAGCAAACACTGACGTGGTGATTGAACATGTATTTTGTAATGATGAAAACGATTGTTCCTACCAAGCTAGGCAGGTAGGTTGGAGAGTGTTACGACTAAAACCAACATCTCAAGGTCCAAAGGCTGCCATGCTACCTCCGGAATTTCCCACAAAAAGGCCGTGTATGACCGGCTCTAAATAATTGTCTTTCGGGATTTGCGGTCACGCTTCCAAGTCACTCATCAGATCACTACTTAATCTAGTTTCTTCTCAGAGGTCTGAGCGACCAGGAAGTGACAACTGTCCTCATACATCTAAAATTACTAAGGACTATCTTGTTCGCGATTGGATCCCTTCATCACTTCTCAATATTCTTTCTATCCCCACCATTAACACCTCTCCCTTGACTTTATCTCCCCACCACTAATGTTAACGAACCAAGTATACATGATGTTATTCCTTATCTTGATTAGTGATACAGCAAAATTTCACTAGTTGAGGTTGTTAGGACGTACATTACGTATGTTTATCCACCATCTACTTTGATAGGTGATAATGAATGATGTAGAAGTTGGTTGAAAGAAGCGAAACGCGAAATCCGTCCATCGAAACCACTGGCTGTTGGTCTGAGCCGTATAGTTAGGTGCAAACTACTTACCTAGTTGGAGTCTGTGCGGTTATTGTAGTCAATAGTTAAAGACTGGGTAACATGGTTCAAAATCGTTCAAAATGGAGCAGGTGCATATGCTCTTTATCTTACCTTAAGTTTTTAAATCAATTTATAAAACATTTGCTTTAATTTCACTAATCTTCTGTGTCTGATTCTTTTCTACAAACACTAATACTGTCAATACTTCTACTACTCTGGGATTTTCCTAAATAATTTCATTGTTTTATTTTAACGCACTATGGCAACTTGAAATGATCTAAACAAACACCAAATTTTCTGTTGTGTATGACTAACTGATACACTATGATAAAAAAAAACTAATTGAAGAGAAATTTTTTTCCACCTTCCATCATTTTTCTTGAAATACCACTCATACTGTTTTCATGGCCTTGTAATATAAACAAAAAAATAGTTCATTCAAAAAGATAACCAACCTTAAGTAATCAATATCAAGAAAAGTGAAAAAAGATGAGTTGGGTTTCAGTCACGATGCAATTTGGTTTGAAAGTGTATGAAATTGGATGGCTAAATTACACCGTACCGCTAGATTCAAAACAAAATACCAACTATCATTCATCTGATAGACAACTTTATAACGTGTCTGAAATGCTTAGAATCGATGAGCAAAACTATCGCGTACAATACTGGTACTGTTGTTAGTTGTATTCAAAATGTAGATCAATGAGGATTGATTCCTTTTTAGCTTCTTCAAAGTGAACTCCTTAAGTAAACTATATAATTTTTAATCTATACCCTCGTAAAACATGCATAATATTTAAAAGTACGATATCCAGATCCCCGTATTATCACACAAATTCCTTTGAACATTAACGAATGTTCATAAAGAGAATTTAAAGTTGTTCATGACCGAATCCAGGAAAAAACTGACCCGTACACCGTACAACAAAATTTCTTGATTTCAAAAAAAGCCAATCGTGAACAAAGAAATATTTCTAAACCATGTAGAAAGATAAATACTTTGCATATATCCAGGTTTCATAATTTTAGCGGAGAAAATTTGCATTTAATCTATCTTCGTGTTGATTGGTTGGTTAGTAAAAAACACGAAATGTCAAGGTCGTTTGTGGTTTCGCTCATGATCAACAGCAAACTGTGTTGGTTTACCGTTCGAACAATAATAATGATACTACTACTACTACTACTACTACTACTAATAATAATAATAATAATAATAATAATAATAATAATAATAATACAATGTTTGGAAGTTAAAGCATATAAGACCGTATTTATGGTGAACACTAATTTTGATGAAATCAGGTGCTCTGAAAACACAAGAAATAGAACATTTCAAACAAAAGATCCAATGATAATGAGGTTTAATAAAATTAAAATATTTATGATCACGAACTTGGTGGGACTTTGACAACAGTTGCTGGATGCCAACTGTAGAAACGATTACAACTGGGTGATTGAACAAAAACCGCAGCATCACTTAAACATTCAAGGTAAACTTCACTACCGATATGATGTAGTCGTATCCCACGACCTAAAAACAAAAATACCCAATGAATTAAATTACAGTCAAAATAATTTATTCATAAATTAAAAAAGACACAGAAATTAGAAAATACAATTATCAAAGTTACACACGATTTTTGTTCTGAATTATTCATACAACTATTCAACTAATGAACTATAAAACAATATTAGTTTTATTTTAATACGTCTAACCTCCTTCTCCCCCACAAACATACACCCAAATTGATTGACAGATGAATACCTACAGTAATCGATTGTTGCTTGAAGCAAAACAATGAATTCAGATAAATAGATTTTAAGCAACAATGTAGAACAAATACGTGAACACTTCAATCTAATACACTGGCACCAAACAAAAGGGAAAACCAAAATAGCGATAAAGAACAATAATGAAACTCATATTAAAGAACTGAAAAAACAATAGAATAAGAAAGAAGATAAACAAAATCAAAGAAGGATCTCAACAAATCAATGGAAAACTAAAGAGTTCATGGAATGTATGCTGATTTTCCTTTATAGCGATGATCAATTATTAAAGAGTTCATTGAATGAATATCTTTTGTGACTTGATCAATTCAAAGGTTGACTACCCAACTAAGGATACCACTGTGAGGTAAATGATTGTAAATTATATACAACGTAATAATATATTGGTAAAATCTGCTATATTATTGAATTGATGCATAAAGCTATCTAGTGACTCATTAATTTAACCCAACACTAGAGTCTAACACTATTATTACTACCACCATTACCATATATAAGAATACATTTTGATGACCCTAAAATACCAAGAAATTTATTACAAGGGGAGTAAGTCAACTCAAAATCGTCCAGGTAAGTCTTGCTAACAACTGATTATATGCACAAAACCTGAGTCAACAGTTTTTTGACGACCACCTCTAATCACCTAACATTATTAGATTATTTGTAATATATGACATTTGATAAATGTAACCTTTGTTAATGTTTCATTATCTATTGGATTAGGTAACAAAGTTGATGAGATCAAAGTATATGATTTGGAAACATAATTCGGAAAGGGATAGATGAGATTCGAACGCTCTATAAATCAATGTACCACATAATCTTAGAATACATATGAATTTATTTATCTCTAATATATAATAAAAAATTTTTTGAGATAACACTTACCAATATGTCTTCTAGTCATCTCAACTTGCAAAGGTCGATTAACATGACTTAAGCTGCCTAAACTGAATCGATCAGAACGATAACACGGTTCAGTAAAACCATCAATTGTTAACGTTGGCCGACCAGCGTGAAATGCATCACCAACACGAGTATTTAATTCATAATAAAAGACACTACACCAATACTGTACATCGGAGAAAGTAAAATCTAATATAGGCGTATTTGAATCCAATAGATTATCAAATTCTTCTGAAGAATGAAAACGATTAGGACTTTGTTCATTATTTGAACTAACTTGTTCAATGAAGTGCTTTTCTATTTAAACAAATTATGAATACATAGATAAATATGTTTGAATTACAAATAAGATAACATTCAAGAAAGAAGAAAAATAGGTATTTTCAAAATGTATTCGTAAATAATTAGTCGACTTTGAAATGTCCCAATCAAATGAAATTATAATTTCATCAAATATTGCTATATGGTAGATACGTAGGTAGGTAGGTAATCTAGTGTTTATCTCACTTGTAGCGCTTATGACAACCAGGTTTTACAGTATTCGGATTTATTTCGTTGAACAATTTTTCATTTATGAGACAGATACTTAAAATGTACCTTTATTCTACATAATTATAAGGTTTAGTAAGTATATCCAACTGTTCCCAACAACGACAAAAAACGATATGTATGAAGTATACACTAGAGTGCAGCTACAATTCAGACAGACGCTGATGTTGGTGAACCAAACCTATGCGTATATAGATCATTAAAAGTGAATAGCAGCTTAACTGACCTAAAAACAGAATGTTAAGTAAAATATTGATAAGACAGCTGTTTAATAGAATAAGCCAAAAGTAGATTATGATCGATACATCACTATCTTGACACAATCTCCTGTTGTCAATTGTAAAGCACTGATTGTAATTTATTTACCAAACGAAAGTCCATCTACTCGACTTTGAGTTATATTCTGTTTAAACCTGCTTCCTATTATTACTACTACTACTACTACTACTACCACTGAAGAGAACAGAAAGGGATCGGAATAAAAACAGAATTGAAAGAATCATAAATGATGTAAAGGACAACTGATGGAAGATATGCAAATGAAGTATTTAATGTATGGTTTTCGTATTTTTCGTATTTTATATTAAACAACAAATTGGTTTTCACTTTACTACTACTACCACTACTTGGAAACTTTTAGCACAACAAATATCACAAAGTAAAAGCCATAATTTCTGTTAATATTAGAATTTATCTAAGATTAGATTTCGGTTATACTACTAAGAGTGTAAACAGTAACAAACAAATCACTATTAAATCATCTTGTTCTATTTTCAAAACAGTACTTCGCAATTAAAATACCACATTTAGCCAACCAACCGTAATGTTCTTACAACAAAAATCACGAAAGCTAAATAATAATAATAATAATAGTAATAAACATACCAGAACTAGAAGTTTTTTGACTAGTTAATTTACTTTGATCATCTAATGACGATAAATGTATATTATGATTTGGTATTGTTAATGAATTTCTACGTGATTTATTATTCATCATTCCTAAATTATTATTAAGTGGTATGGTAGTATTACGTTCAATTAGTGAGAAAGGACCATTCATTGTCTTGTCTGCAGATGCTTTCGCTAAGGCAGCTGCAATTAAAGCGGCTTGATTTATGATTGGTGTCGGTGTTGTTGTTATTGTTGTTGTCAGTGATAATGAAACTATGGTGGATTGATTCAATGTTGATGATGTATTTGTATAGTGTTTAACATCTGATTCATAATAATTATTATTAATAATGATAGAAGTAGTAGTTGTAGTAGTAGTAGTAGTAGTAGAATGAGAAGTAGACGTAGTAGTAACCGCAGTAGTATTAGTGGTGGAAGTGACATTACTAGTGCTGTTATTTTTATCTGCATCATAACGGTCAGAGAAAATTGAATCTAAATATTAAAATAAATGGAATATATTTGATAATATCCCCTATTATTATAATATTTAGCTTTAACTTTAAACCATACAGGAAAAAAATGATAGTCTAACGCATAAAATTCACTTATAATAAAGACAGATTTTGTATTTCTCACATAGCTCTATCTATCCACTTTACACTAATTCAGTATAATTCTTACAGGTTATCATGCAAACTAAGCACCGAGATTTATGCACACATTTCAAACTGATAGGGAAACCTTATACAATACTAAAAACTTAGATTTGATTAGTTAATTGAAGAATACAGTCAGTCAGCTACGACATAGGACAAGGCACACATATGCATCAGTCCAAGCTGCCACACCTCATTAGCACAACAAGATCAACACCAAATTCATAGAAGTAGTTACACCAATGGTAGCAATATATAATAGAAAGATTGTGTACAAATATATAATACAGGAAGAATTAGTTCGTAGAAATAAAGGTATAAAGCAGTTTCAATCTCACAGTTTCAGGGAAGACAAAGAGTGTATATACCAACGCCATTGTGATCGATTCTGAGCTATGTTACCCAGGGTCTACAACCATTGGTTACGATAATCGCGTGGACCTCAACCAAGTAGTCTGAATCTAACAATATGGCTCAGATCACAAGTTAGTGACTTTAGGGATTGATGCCACGTTTTGGTTTGGCCACCCCTAACTTTCTTCCATCTATCTCCAACACTAGTCAGCACTGCGCGTCATGGTAATCGGTGGTTGGGTATGCATAATACATGACCCAACCATCTCAGTCAATATAGACTCACAACCTCATTTACTGCGAACACACCAGTTTTGGTTCGAAACGAGGATTTTTACAATAAATAGAAAAATGAGGGTAAAATTATTCAAAATCAAATTAGTAAATGGACCAATTGTCGACGCGAAAACACTTTATTGTTATATAGTAATGACAATGAGGGAAATAAACAATTGTTTGACGCTTTAATAGTAAAGAGAAAATAAGTACAGGAGAAAGGAGGAACATTAGCTTAGTGGTTACAGGGTTCGACTTTCATCCACTAAGTCCCAGATTGGAACTCCGCCCCACCTAACTTTACTTTGATTTGGGCAACCGTGCAGTACTATTACACCTCACACTTTCAGTGTTATTCATAATCAAGTACCCGATAAATAAGATAACTGACTATTACTGTTTACTACAAATTAAAGAGAATAAGATAAACAAGTTATTATAGTGTAAAAATAACAAGATATATTATTTACAGTAATATAATGTGGAGAATACCTGGAACTAAAAAGAAATGTCATCCAACAACAAAGTCGTAATTTTCAATATGAATATCAAGACAGTTCTATCGTACGGAGTTGAAACTTAGAGAACTATTACAACCACCACAAAAACAGTAATGCACTTATAAACAGCTGTCTACACAAGATACTCCAGACCCATGGACCAAATACCCATCAGCAATAACCTACTATGACAGAAAAAACCAGCTTCCAGTTAAAGAAATTGGGAAAAGACGTTCGAGCTGGATAGGATATATATTGAAGAAATCACCAAACTACATCACAAAGCAAGTCCTAACTTGGAATTCTCAAGGCAAAAGGGAAAGGGGTAGACCAAATTACTTATTGCATCGGGAATTCCAGGCAGGCACAAAGAAAGGAATAGCAGTTAGCAACAAGTGGGAAGCAGAGCCTAGGACAAAGTCAGTTGGAGACTCGTGGTCGGTGGTTAATGCCCTATGATGGGTAACAGGGTGTTGTTTACGAAATTGAGAGGATGAAAAGCGAATATCCAATGCTTTAACCGGGTTGGTGGATGCGGATGTCCCTCATTCCAAACCAATGGTGCAATTAAGCTCCAATATCCTGAAGGAACAAATGGAACAAAAGGAACAAACTAGTCGTTGATCACCGGCTATTATGGGGCTGCATCTCACTACGTTGTTCCATTGCCTTGTGGATCAGGATTACGGTGTGGTCCCCTAAGAAAACCACCTGCTTCGGTCTAAGCTCCCGGGCAGTACCCAGCCCACACACAAAACAAGTGACTTGTGTGGCGCATATGTATTCGGTGCCCCTTTGTACCAATATTTATGTGTTCAAATAAATAATAGATAAATAAATAACAGGCGTAAATAATATGAATGGAATAATAGTGATTTTAAAGCAATTCATCTTATCACTTGAATTTTACACTTAACTAAATTATCAAGTACATATGTGTTTGAAAAATTGACTTCAAAGCATACTTTTCTTGTTAAGCCTAGTATTATTGCATGGTTGTCGAAACCAGAGTAGGGTTCTAACATAAGACCTAGCGTTAAAAGCCGAGACATTGCTGCACGGAAACACTGCATATAAATATAAATAGTTAATTTCAATACTATCCAACATCCTAACAATAATCAACATGTAAATACAGGTAGAACCGAAATATCCGTTCAGACAACCTCATATGCCGATTGCAATTAATTCGTCCAGTCAGGAATATCAACGACAGGAACATGTTTATAATAATAATAATTACTATTATTATTATTACTACTAGCGTAAAAGATAGTCCACAAGCAACAATCATAACTAACGCTGCTTAATTTAATACCTGAAGACTGCCTTTCATACCAAATGTCATAACGATTTAGTTTGAATGAAATACATTGCGAATAATCAATCATTCTCTTTCAATCATACATACATTTTTTTAGACTATTCATTCATCAAAATATATATGTGTGCATGAATTTTGTGTTTTTTTAATGTGATGATCTCTATATTATAATATACACACTTAATTCTTATTGACATGTTAAAAGGGATTAAGATGAATATCCTTGTACATAATGCGAGAGAAATAAAGGAGGTATGCAAAGTAATCAGTGTATAGTTTATTGTCTTTTAATCTCAATCGCAACTAATTACAATTAATTCTACTTGATTAAGTATTATAGATAAGGATATAAGTATCAATTATTAGTAATTAATTAACGCCTTTTTATCACAATGATAATCACTACTGAATAGACATTTCGTCATCAATATGTCATATAAATTGATATCTTTTTCAGTGAAACAATAAGAATGTACTCGTTATGGTAAATAAGTTGACTTCGGATGATACACAAATCATTTGTCTACACAATTTTTCAAATCGGATTCAAGATTATTTCTCAGAATTTGACAGAAACAGAACATACACCAATTACGTCATTCGCTCTGAAGAAAAAAGGAGCAAATTCTAACTATTTAGCTCCAAGCGCTTCCTTTTAATACTACTTATAAGAAACAATCGGACATTCTATGATATCAGTTCTTACACCCATTATACAAGCTTTGTTCATCAATAATGTGAAAAAACTAACTATTTGTACAGAGTTGTTTTAGATATCTATCTTTGTCAGGACTTATCCCATTTTGTTTTAATGTTTAGAAAAATGCTTCTGTAATACCACTATTATATGTTTTTTCCTATTTGAGTATATTGATTATTATTGATGTTAACATGACCCTTATTATCTACATTTACTCTGCCTACCCTAAGGATTTAGATCCCCTGTACAAATACCTTACAATTACTTAGAAGTAATCATATAAATTTCAACTTTAAAATTAAGATACAAAACCTTTAAAAGCATAGTATACACTGAGTTTTAACTGATAGGACAAATGATGTAAATGATTTACCAAGTATAATTTTAGAATATTTGGCTTGGCTCACATATTAATCGTATGAGAGTAATAATATTACCCGGATCGTCAAACTGAAGTAGATGAAACCGAGTTCTAAGTTGTAACTCAGAAGTTGGAAGATGAGTATAGCAACTCACTTTATAAATTTGAAATATACAAACCATATAAAAAAAATGTAGTAGCGAAATATCATTCAGTGCTCCGATAAGTTCATTTTATGACTATATCCTCAAGTCATTTAAAGATAACTGTTTAATATTTGATCCGAAAAAATATGTAAACGAACAATTACTTTTACAATACCTTCTTTATTATTATACATTACACAAACAATGGTTTCGCGAGAGAGAAATCCACACACAAATGTTTAGGTGAACGTTTTATGTTTAAGACTTTCAAGTTTTATCCAATATTTTACAAGTCCGAATTCCAACCCGTTTACCTCCATCGCTTGATCAGTATCAGTAATCCTAACAACTACAATCTGGTAATGCTAGGAAAACCTCAAATTATCTAGCTATTTTTTTGGTTTAAATAAATGATAGTTCTGACATGAAAATGAGTCTGCAGTAACTTATATTTTCTCCTTGATCTTTCCTGGTATTCGATTGGTATGTTTGCTGTAAGTTTTACGATCATATGTGTTGCTATATAGACAAAGTTGTCCTGTAAAGATTCTGATTTCTTTAAATACAAATTTTTTTCCTGAGTTCTTGAATTCTTTTCCCCTACCATAAAGGGAGGAATGTTATTGAAATATTACTTATTAGTCGCCTATTCTACCTAGTTCAAATATATTTTGTTTGTACCAGGGAAATCTTCCATCTGTTCGTTATTCGAAATTATCGTAAGCTATACCAAAATATAACAGGTTCAAAGTTAAACTACATGAGTCTCTGTACTTGGCAAACGAGTTACGGTATTTATATATCATTAATTACATAAAACTAAATTTGAAGTGGATTTAAAACGTGGAACTATATTCGATTTTGCGTTGACAATGATTTAAATACCCACAGATGTAGTGTCTGAACCTGTATATATGTTACAATCTCTTATCATAGCATTTCTCAGCTTCCCAATCTTTCTGCAAGAAAACGCTTGCGTTATTGCTTTTAACTTTACAGGGTTAGGTATCGTCATTTTATCGTGGTCACTAGTTCAGTGATTTTCTCTATTATTACAATTATGACTCCAGTTAATCACTCTAACCCTCTATATTTTTAACGTCTACATCCCCCAATAATAAATATAGAAATATATACAAAGAGAGAGAGAGAGTATAACCAGTTACAAACAAATT